TGTGATGCCCTCTGTCAGCAGGGCGGCGCTGTTCCTTACGTTATATTGCCCGCAGGAATGGCAGTACCTCTTTCGACCTGCTTCCCTCTCTATCGCTGTGGTCACCGCTTGTCATTTGCCCCTTCCCAAAGCCCCCCCGTTACTCCCCACACAGGTCATTTAGGGTTTCCTGACCTGATCTGGCAGTGGTCTGTCAGAGTAATGGCTTGGGGGTCTCGGCCCCCTGCCCTTGGGGCTGCCCCGCACCGCGCCCAGATTTCTCTCCTTGCATAGTGTTTTTCTGAGCCTGACCCGCCCACCCCCCACCCCTCATAAGAAGCTCACTCACGAGGTGATGACTTCAGGGGACATAGCTGCCCCCCATGAACCACGCCCAGGGGGATTCTGGCGTGTCTGTCACTGGCGGCTGCCCGTCCATATTCTCCACTTCAGTGGAATATTCTCCTATGTTCTCTGCTCGTGGTATCGGGATACTTTTTCCGGAATGAACACTAGGTGCGGAATCCTGGCTTTCGGGCTCGTTTCCGTGAAATGGAATATCTCAGTTTTATTTGTTTTTAAAATTAATCGGGAAACCATTTGGGAGCCTTTCAGGAAGAGCCCAAGGGTTTGCTGTAATTGATCTCCTTGGCAACAGAGAACCTACTAATCTAAAGACCTAAAATACAGGCCCTGCCAAAACCCCAAAGGCTTTCACCCCCCACCCCCCGAAGTCCCGAGTTTAGTCCGCAATCCATCCAGCCTCCAGGCGTCAGACCCGCAGACGAGCATGTGCCCCACCCAGTAAGAAAACCCCTCCGCTGGGACCTGCAGGCGTCACACCCTTGACAGACTATGGGGTGCACACAGGCTTGAAAACAGGGAAGCCAGCCCCTCCCAGGAGATCATGAGGCACCCCCATCCCGTGGACGATGGGGTAGGGCCTCGAGGGGGCTGGCGGCCGGGCCGTAATGGCCTTCTCTGTGAGGACGGGACTCGCCAAATGGACAGCAGGAAGAGAATGGTGCAGGCTGAGAAAGATCAGTGTTTACAGCGAATCTCTGAGTCACGGCAATCTGTCTAATAGTTATGGCGGCAGCCAGTTCCCAGAAACCATCAGAATGGAGTGTTTCTCTGGAAGTTTTACTGGCCCTGCTTCTGCCACGAGCCAGCACCCAGTCGGCGGGACCTCCCGGCTCGGCCTGTCCGTTTGTCTGATGCCCTGCCGGGAATGGAGCGGAAATTTCCACAGCTGAAGACAGCAGAAAGCCTGCTAGGGATCAGGGGTCGGCGGGGGGGGGGTGGTCCAGGCCTGGGTGGGTGCTGCTCCCCCACTCTGAGTATCATGCTGAGAGCCCTTTGTTGAGATGCTGAATCAGAGATCAAGACAGGGGTGGGGGCGTGGTCATTTGATATGTGGGTGTGGCCTTATTAATGTGAATGCTCCTCCCATAGTGCTTGGATTTATGCAGCTGTTTCAGGTTTTCTGTTTGTGGCCTTGTGTTTGTGTACTTCTGCCTGAGATAATGTTGGCTATTAATCTGCTTCTAGAAGGTTCTACAAACGGAACCCTTATTTTCGCTTCTCACATTTACCTGAAGCTTTGTGGCAAACCTCCAGTACTGTGAGAACGAAACATGACATAAACAGAGACTCTGAACAGGAAGTGACCTCAAACCTGAACCCACTATTCTCCCTGATTACTGATGTTATAACAGTCTAGTAATGCGATGAAAAATGTGCAATTAAAATCCCATTTCCTATTTTTAAAACCCACCCAGTGGACTTTACATTTATCTGTGACAAATATGCATTATTGCAAGCATTATACCATAAACACATTAAAACTGACTATTAAGTCTACATTTTGTATTGGCCCACAAGCATTTTCCATTTTCACGAGTGTGTGGGGTGCCCTGTCATTCCTCAGCGAGCCACCGAGAGGCGCCACTGCACAGAGCCACCTGTCTGGGTCTGTCATCACTCATGGGTGTCTAGTGAAGGGCTTCAGCCAGTGTGTGGCTCAGTGGAGTCTGAAATTCAGAATGGGGGAGGCGTTCGTAGGGCGCAGGGCACTACTTCATGGGTGGATGGATACATGCTTGCATTCTTAGTTCATTAATCGCGACTGTGAAGGAGAGCAAATGGCCAGGGACTGTGAAGGAGAGCGAATGGCCAGGGACTGTGAAGGAGAGCGAATGGCCAGGGACTGTGAAGGAGAGCGAATGGCCAGGGACTGTGAAGGAGAGCGAATGGCCAGCGACTGTGAAGGAGAGCGAATGGCCAGCGACTGTGAAGGAGAGCGAATGGCCAGCGACTGTGAAGGAGGGCGAATGGCGCGGCCTGCCAACATTCCGGGGCCCCGCGTCATTGGCCCGTGGGCCTGCTCTGTCACGGCCTCGCATAGTGGCCTCAATTGTTTGTGCCGCCTGCCCTGGCGAACAAAGGCGCGTTTGAGGGCCGGGGCCCAGATCCGGCGCACGGGGGCCCTCACATTATTTACATGGGCCTTCGGGAGGCCACTGTGGGGTGGGGGCATGCTGCTTTGTCCCTTCCCTCTGTGGGAGTGCACTGCACCCCCCCCCCCACTCCCTCAAAAAATACAAAAGGCTTAATCTCCAAGTGTGCCTGATCATGGACAGTACCCCCCCCCCCCAGTAAACCAGGAAACCGAGGTTTGTAGGGTGTGTGTTTGTGTGTGTGTGTGTTTTAGTGAACATGATTCTCTCTTTCTGCTGTGTTTGTGTGTGGGCATTTACACCAGTGTGTCTGTACCTGCATGTGTGTGTGTGTGTGTGTGTGTGTGTTCATGTACATTTACAGCCATTTGCACGCTGTCCCGCCTTTATGTGGCACCCCCCCCCCCCCACCCGACACGTGGGAGAGCAGGGGGCGGCAGGGGGCCGAGTGTGGCTGTCAGCACACTCTTATGTTCTGAGGAGATTTATGCCTGGGGGAGTCTGTGCAGCTGTCCCCAAGGTCACGCCCCCCCACCCCCACCCCACTGGCAGCATGTGTCCTGATTGGCCAAAGCCGGGTCTCTTATTGCTGTCTGTCCTTCGTCTGTGAAAGGACTCGTGACACGCGGATCACAGCGGGAATAACAAACCCCAAGATGACAGTGACACATCCAGCGGCTGATTCGGCTCAGCCTGATTCTCAGTAGGGGGCGCTGTGTGGCTCGGTGGGTTCGGACGTCGTGCCTATGATCAGAAGGTCACTGGTTCAAATCCCACAGTCGGAAGAGTGATTTCATCATTTGGGCCCCTGAGCTAGACCCTTAGCCACAATTACCCCAGGTACTGTCAGACCCTGGGATTTGAAACAGCGACCTTCTGGTCACAGCCAGTGTCCTAACCTGCAGTCATACACCACAGCTGAAGCCCCAGACTGAGGTTTAACGGCCTGTTTTTATCGATTTAGAGCAGCATCGCCACTTCAGCCCCATCTCCCCCTTGGACCTGCTGCTCACAGAGGCAAAGTCTCTGTATGTCTCACTTGGGACTCTGCTTATGCTCCAAGCACAATATGAAAGTAAAACATAAACTCTGTGCGAGTCCTGTTGGGAAAACCTTAAGTCACGCTTCTAGAAAATCGTTCAAGGGTAATTTTAAGGCTGATTATTCTCTCTTTTTTATTTTTGCTGTTTTTAACTGATTTTAACTAATTTGATTTTTATACCAAGCATAAGTAAACGTCTGCATTGAGAAACCGAACACAGATATTTACTGTTTACAGTTTGTTACCTATTAAACCAGAGTGGCGCGATAATAAGATGTATGGATATATACATACATACATTATTAATTACAAAGGATTTTACACGACACACACTTGCACTGTTAATGAGACATTTAGACCTAAATAGTGACAATAAACAGCAGCAGTGTAAAGAATGTCAGAGAAGGTATTAAACAGAATTTCACAGAAGAACCTGGATTATTAATCCATTGTTTTGTAAAGTTGTCAGATAATATTCTCGGAGGTACCTTTAGTGTCTTTAGAAAGAAGAAATACCGCATGTACAACATTACATAAATATTTAACATTGCTTAACTGATAGCCAAGTGACGCAACATAAAATGAAATAGGTGCTTTATTAGTGTTTTGCTGCCATCTAGTGGCAGTAAGGCAGTGCATCAGGTATCTGAACAGGCTGGCGGTTGTTTACCCACGGACTAAAGTTACTTCTTCTGGGGATGTCATATGAGTCTGTTCTGCTAAGAAGCAGGAAGCTGAATAAATGGCTTCTCCAGAATCCCAACACTTCAGTTTTGGCAGTTCTTGCAGTGCAGCCTGAGTTCAGACCAGTGTGTCAAGATGCATCTCGGGTGAGAGGTTTAGCTCTGTGTTCTATCATTTTCTCAGCTGGATTTAGTGACTCCCTGCCAAGGCCAAGCTCTCTCTGCTGGGTAAATGAATGTTCTGTGTGTGCAGATACTTCTGTCCAAAGTGACACGCAGGTGAAGATCAAAGCAGGCTCCTCCATTGTCGCTGGAGTAATGGGTCTGGGTGAAGGGCCCAGTGGCACAATCAGCCATGGGATTTGAACCAACAACCTTTTGATCACGAGGCCTAACCTGCAGAGCCCCTGTCGTCCTGTAGCTGTATAAACACCTATAAAGAATGGGTGGATTCTGAACTGATCAATGAACTTCACCTGTAAGCTAAATGGTGTATAGGTCAGTCAGTTAGGCCTATGTGCCTGTGATCAGTTGGTTGCTGGTTTGAATCTCATGGTCAGTAGAGTAATGACATTACAGTTGGGCCCAGGAACAAGGGCCTTAGCCTCATGTAAAATGCTGACTCTGCACTCCGACCACAAGCTTCACTCTCATGTGTGTATGTGTCATTAAAAAGGAGAGCATGATGGGATATGCAAAAACATTGCTATGTACCTGTACTGGTACAAATGGGAAGCATTCCATTTCGAGACTGAAAGGTGTTGTGATGGCATGAGGTCCGAGAGACACCAGTAGATATCCCATCATGTGAAAGTCCCACCTTCTCCTCTCTTGCAGGCCGTAATGAGCTGATAGCGAGATACATCAAGCTGCGGACAGGAAAGACCAGGACGCGGAAGCAGGTACCGCCGTCTCCGATCGCCATATCGGCACTTTGCAAATGAATGCACTACTGGATTCAGAGGGATGCTTTGGAAATACTGCCCCGGGGGACGGTACAGCAGCTAAATAAGTCGGCAGTCAGGAAGCGGCCTCGTTAAATTCAGTTCAGCAGGAGAGGAGTATAAGAGGATTTTTAGAAGAGCTTTCGGTTTAGCGTAACATTCATGGGGGCATTAGGCAGTGCATAATTAGTTTGATCTGATTTTGATGATTAATGATGTTTCTCTTTACTTGGGAAGCAGCTTGGATGAATAAGGCTTCCAGGGCTGGTGGCCTGTGAATGTTGAGTGGGTGGAAGGTTAGGGCCCCCCTGCAGCAGCACGTGAACATGCACCGTTGCGGTTTCATTTACGAATGTGTTGCTGACGTCGTTTCATGTAACTTTCTCGTCGGGACATGCGATGTCCTTTCCAGATACGAAGTTTCCTTTTTCTACTTCTGACCGTTGTCTAGCTGTTACTGAGGTTTTTGGGTACACATCCCTGTTTTTCTGCAGGTTGTCGGATCACACAGTGAGGCGGTCTCAAACGGAAGCTGCAGAGCGACTGTTCAATGCATCGCTGTTTACGTACAGCAGGGGGCGCCACACACCACTTCAATCGCTAAATGGGCTCTCAGTAAAAATAACAACTTGAGGCTTTGTTTCTGGCTTATGAATTGCACTGTGCCATGGAACTGGGAATCACAAATAATGAACTGAATCCCCAGCCTTACTTAGAAGCAGTTTTGAGTTCGATCTACCCTTTGTGCCCTTGGAGGACTGTCTCTGAACACGTACCTGTTGAGAGACACAATGGAGTATCACAGCCTGCTCAGTCAGCACAAACACTCCTAACCTTGAGCGCTGTGCCCAGGGGCGGATTAACGCACAGGCTAGATATGGCTTAAGCCTAGGGGCCCCACGTGTGCCAGCCTGCAAGGGGGCCCCCATTGGCGCGGGGCTGGGTTGGGGGGCCCACAGACTACTGTAGCCTAGGGGCCTCCGTACACCTTAATCCGCCCCTGGCTGTGCCCTTAATCCCAATCTATCCATGGGGGCTGGATGTGGGCCCACAGTGTTGTGACCCCCTCTGTAAGTGTCTATGTTTCAGTGTAGCGGTGTGTGGCTCAGCAGGTTAGGACACTACTTGTGATCAGAAGGTCATAGGTTCGAATCCCCAAGTCGACAGAGTGGTTTTACCGCTGGGTCCTTGAGCACGGACCTCAATTCCCAATTGCTCCAGGGATTGTCTGACTCTGCTTTGTGAGAAATATGTATGTTGCTTTAGATAAAAGTGTCTGTTAAATACATAAGATGGGAAAAGCAGTTTCCAGATGGAGGTGAATAAAATGTCACTGCTTTATTCTGTCTTACAGCAGGACATTAGTCGGAGCTGCCTAAGACAGGGAGGGTTTCTGTACAAACCCAGTCCAGCTCTCGCTTATGTCCGATAGCTGATGTTACTATTTACGTCGGTCTCTTTGGAGCTGATGCTTTAGAGCGCTGCATTGCTAGGCCCTGCCTGAGTGTTTAAACCTGTTTCACGCCCCCTCCCCCCCCCAGGTGTCTAGTCACATACAGGTTTTAGCACGGAAGAAAGTCCGGGAGTACCAAGCAGGCATCAAGGTAGGTGCCACCAGGGGGCGTGCGGGCGGCTCCTTCCTCTTTGGTTACGGCTTCTTCTCTCCTCTCTTTCCTCTCCTCCCCCCGTTCTGCTCTTCTTTTCTGCAGGTCTCTAGCCACTTGCAGGTTCTTGCCAGGAGAAAATCTCGCGAGATTCAGTCAAAGCTGAAGGTATGCGCTTGTGTAGCAGGCTGGGCGGGGCTTGTGGCGGCTTGGCTTTGAGGCTGACCAATAACAGCGGCTCGGCATGGCAGAAGCACCAATGGGGAATGGCCTTTTAACTCTCAGGACGCTTAACCAAGGGCAGGGCTGTGGAGAGAGCCAGAAAGTTTTGAAAATGGCTTTAGGTGGTCTAGGGTGAGTTTAGAAATACTGTTTATGTGAGTCTGTAAGCAGTGAGTTTCGTGTTGGCAGGATAGTTCCAATCAAAGTCGTGTTTTTCTGGATACTCTTAATGTACTTTGTGATTTTTTTGTAATAAGCATCTTCTTTTGAACTAAAACACAGGCACTGTAAAAGCATTTGTCTGAAAGAAATCACAGATAATGGAAAGTATTGGCATCTTCTTGGCATTTAAATGTCTATAAATTCACCACGAAATTTAAAAATTAGTTGATGATTCTAATAATGTTAGACTTGGAGTTTCCTATGAGAGCTTTGTCCAGAAGAGGGCAGTAGAGCTCATAACATATAAACACACTTTATTACAGCTTCTCCCCAGGTTATGATGGGGTTATGTTCCGATAAACATATCGTAAGGCGAAAATGCATTTTAATGCAGTACACCTAACCTAACAAACGTCATAGCCTAGCCCGCCTTAAACTTAGAACACTTAGATTAGCCTACAGTTGGGCAAAATCATTTAAAAAGTGGTGAATATCTCATGTAATTTATTGAATAATGTGCTGAAAGTTAAAAACGTTTAGCCATCGTAAAGTCTAAATATCGTAACACGGACCATCGTAACCCAGGGAGTGTCTACATAATACTCTATTTACACATCCAGGGTTATGAAATAGCTCAAAGTGAAGAAATCAGACCCAATGATAAGAGAAAGTTTATACATTACAATGCCGCAATAAAAGATTAAGGGCAGCCTGGGGAAATCGTTTTTTTTTTTTTTTTAGAGAGAGGTTACAGTTTTGTTTGTTTGATCAGATCTGCTTTACTACTGTGTTCAAGGACACCCTGCCAATACTGTTCTCCAGATTGGAGTCTTTGGGTCACTTTCTGTGTCATGATTTAAGGTGTGGGCCTAAATTAGCTCCATCATTGACATAGACTTTGGGGGCAGTACCAAGGCTTGTGGGCGGGGCTTGTTCTTACTCAGGGATACTTCTTTGCGTGGTACGCTCTCCTGGCACTTGATATTGGCAGAGTAACTGTGCTTACACTATCAAGGACAGTGTGGCTGTCAGTCAGGGGACATTCTAAGCACATGCTTACGGCTGCATGACCTGCCGCCAGCTGTCGCCATGGCTTCGGATGTGTGCTAGAGTGTGGCCGGCGAGTGTCTCCCCCCCGCCCCCTGCCCCCCTCCCCGGTGCAGTCGTGCTGCGTGGCTAACGTGCTAACGCTATGGCGAGCAGGCTTTCCTGTGCTGCGCATTAACCCCCTCTCTTCCTCTCTGTAACCCCCCTCCCTCCCACCTTCCATGTTTGTGTCTTCTCTGGGGAACTGGAGAGCCGTAGCACTACGGCGGTACGAGTCTAAATTAGTGCCATTCCACGCGGGTCACTCACGCTTAGTCCATGTTCACTCTCGGCCGTCTCCGTCTGGGATGAGGGGCTGGTGAAGCCGCTTTATGATGTCCCCACGCCCCCCCCCCTCTCCTGGAGTTCCTCGCTGTTTACTTTTTCTCCGTCTTAAGGGTTCAAGACGTTTCACAACATTGGCCGATTTCCTCCATGTTTCCTGTAACCTCTAAACTCACCTCCCACAATCAGTACACACGCTTTCCTGTGTTAATGCACTCTTATGTCCGTCTTTAGAAGCTCTGCAGTATATCTGCTGAAGCTTCGGACTTTGTGAAATGTGAAATTCCGGACTTAAACTCGTTTGGGTAACCATGTTAAGTGATCCTTACTAAGTTTAATAGTGCCATTTCTGTACTCGTACCCTGTGCTTAGTGACCAGTTTCAACTGCTAATCTTCCTTAATCCCTTACACTTTAATCAGGAGCTGGTGGTTTGGGTCCCCTCTGTCCAGCCCAGTTCCTCCCTTGATGTCTAACTTCTGGTGTCACCACATGATGCACTATCCTCTCTTTGGATATCCTCCCTCTCTCCCCCCCCCCCCCCCCTCGGGTTCTGCTGGGCCGATATAGGGCTCAGTGGGTTAGAACACTGTGCCTGTCGTCAGAAGGTCAGCGGTTCAAAACATTGGGCCCCTGAGCAAGACGGGACTGTCTGACTCTGCTCTCTCAAAAAAAAATTACATCACTGTGGATAAAAGGTTCTGCTAAATGAATAATTAATAATATGAATCTGCAAGCTAATCTATGGGTTGTGCCACTCAAAATTAGATAAAATGATGGAAGAATACAATATGTGAATAGGAATTACAAACCTTTCACTGCTGAGACAGAGATGAACATCTTCCTAAACCGATTTTAGAAGGAACTGAGAATTTGACCCCGGCTCTTTAAAACCAAAGATTGAAACAAGCAGCCGACGTTAACTCAGCAGTGTACTTTGTCCATAGGCTTATGATCAGGGAGGAAGGGCCCCGTTCTGCAGGTGTGCTCAGATCCGTCCCCTGGTTGGCTTTTACTAACGGTGTCTTCTCTCTCTGATTCAGGCCATGAACTTGGTAAGTCTTCACTTGATTATCGCCAGTCGCTTCTTTGCTCTAAGCCTCCCAGCTGAAGCCCTGCCCGCCAGCTGCGTGGTGTTAGGCTGGCATGGCCCCGCCCGCCCGCCCGCCCGCACTTTGCGCGTTTGCTCCCTTCTCCGCTTGGCTCACAGGGCAAGGCCTGGTGCTAACGCTATTGCCATTAACAGGGCACAAAGATCTGCGTGCGGTACTCACCCGCCAGCTTCGCTTGCTTTTCACAGCAGGCTGAGGGATCTTTGGAGACTTCCTGAGTCCATCTAAAACACACCCCTCCCCTGCAGGACTGTCTCCATCCTCTCAAAGTCAGTGTCTCAAATTTACCATAGTATGGGCATAGGGGGTACGCTCTGCCCCCAGCCGGCAGTAGATTTCCTGGCTTTTCTAATCTATACTCTTTATGGATTATAGATCTACTTTTGTTGCACATTTTTCATGGACAGATATAAACTTGATGAATTTCATCGATTACTCTTCTTATACACCACAGGGTTTGCGGCACGAAAATATGTTAACATACGTTATAGATGTAAATATAAATCCCTTAAAAGCAGTGTTTTCCAACCTGGTCGTCAGGGATTCGCAGAGTCCGCGTTTTTGCTCCTTCCCAGCTGCTGATAGGGAGCAAAAATGTGGACCAGAAGGCAGGGAGCTCGGAGGGAGCAAAAATAGAATATAAATACAGGCAGTCCCCTAGTTAAGAACATCTGACTTACGGACTATTTGTACTTGCGGACGGACTGCCAGGAAGGCACACAGTACTTTGTGATGCTCATGAAAGCATTGTGAGGCTTCAGTGGTCGTCTGCTCGAGGTACAGTACAGTACTGTGTAGTTATTATTATTATTATTATTATTATTATTATTATTATTTATTTTGTGTGTACGTGAGCCCAGGAATGGGTTGTTCCCTGCCTTGTGCCTGTAACGTCTGGGATAGGCTCCGGACCCCATGCAACCAGGAATAGGACAAGCAGTTACAGAAAATGGATGGATGGATGGATGGATGGATGGATGATTATTCAAATTCAAATTTTATTTCTCACATGCATCATCATGCATAGTACAACCTGCAGATTTGAAAAAACACTCTAAAACTATATAAAAAGAGATGATAGATTATAGTGCTATCTATACTATATACAAAATATATATCTGCTATGTACATATATTGCACTATAGAATAACATTGAACATGGAGTTTACGATGGGATGGCATAGAAGTATGGAATGCATAATATAATATAATATATAATATAATATAGCCCACTGTGTTGTTCATTGGAGGGGGGATGAAGGGTTGATGATGTCACTCCATCACTGTCACCCTTTCGCATCCTGGGTATTGTCCTTACCCACAAGTTTGACTTACGGAACGGATCTGGCCCGTAACCTGGGGACTGCCGGTATGTAAGCCTTTTAAATATGACATTGAGATATGGACAGAAAAATACAGTAAAAATATATATATATATAGTAGCTCCCCTCTGCGTTGTGTTTTTCTGGCATGTTTGAAATGTGGGACACGCCGGCAAGGGCCTCTGTCTGCCTCAGGGCTCCAGCCAGTCTGGGCCAGATCCAGTTCGCCTTCCCGGGGATTGACTGGTGCCTCTGAGGCTCCAGCTGCCTCCCTTTGCCGCATTTTGCGTGAATGACGGCGGGAAACGTGAGAAACTAAAATGCTGCGATGGGTGGGGTCACAGTCAGCTGTCCGTCACCACAAGTTCCCAGCTTGAAGCTACATAGAAAAGCAGGCAACTTAAGGCGCGACCTTTAAAAAACTCTTCTGATTTTCACTCATTATTTAATGGATTTCGCTCAGTTAAATTAGCTGTGAAAGGCTGTCAGATCAGTGTCGCGTTTTCAGTAGGATATTAATCCTCCTCGCAGATGGGAGCTTGAACACAGTTATAGAGGCACAAATACTTAATTAGTGATTAAAATGCCGCAGATGTTTCTCACCTGTAGAGTGAAATAGTCACTTCCGGAATGGTTTTCCAAGCCTGTCACGTTTCCATAAACTCACTACAGGCCACACCCCTAACGACTGTTACCAAGCAGTTACTGTCCAGGAAGCCACTGGCAGCAGAGAGGATTCAGGATTTAAAAGTACCTGCTTTCTCTCTCTCTCTCTCTCTCTGTGTCTCTCACTCTCTCTTTCTCACTGTCAGTGAAGTAAAGCTTCCCTTAGCCTTTTTTTCTGCATGAAGTAGTACGCAGATGCAGCAGCACACGTCCGTAAGGCATGTCTGTGTCCACAAATAAATACTGATCTCTGTTTAAAACCTCAACGTTCATATGGAAATCCTTACACTGCCACGCAGTGTTCAATTCTGAAGACAGTTTTATTTGAGCAAAGTACTGCATCGCTTTTCAGTTTTCAAATTTGTTTCATTTTTCATTAAGAATTTTTTGGGGAGGCACAGTGACATCAGACCTTGGTGCTTCATCAAGGAGTTTGGTGTTGGATTGTATTTGTGTATATAGCATATTCTGCTATTGGCTCAAATTTGCTCCTTTTTCGTCAAGTTTTCAGGTCTGGTTAAAGAGAATTAATGATAAGTTTCAGTGTCAAATACGCTGCAAGTCAGATGTGCTTCAGCGTGCTGCTGCAGCACTCAGGCTGAGAAGCCGGTCTCTTCCTGAGGAGACCACCATCTCAGACCCCTCAGCACTTGCATGCTTTCTGCAGTCCTGCATCTTCTTCAGCCTAACACCTGTCCCTGTATCCCCCCCCCCCCCACCGCCACTTCGGTCAGATGCCCCTCTGCTGTTCCCGATTGAAACCCTCGCCTTTCCGTTCTCCGTAGGATCAGGCCTCCAAAGACAAGGCCCTCCAGAACATGGCGGCTCTCTCGTCGGCGCAGATCGTCTCGGCCAGCGTGATGAAGAACCAGCTTCCCCCCCTGCCGCAGCCCCCCTACCCGCCGCCTGCCAGGGTGAGCCGCCACCCCTTGCACCGCCTGCAGGGGGCAGTGCCAAGCTGCTCTAGCTGAGGCTTCATCTAAATCCATTTGCAAATGTTTTTCTACGCACAGCAGGATGGGGTGATCATTTGGAGAATAAGTACTCATTTCACACAGTAGTAACCATACTGGGATATGAACCCACAACCTCCCACAGAGAAGTTTGTTTAGCAAAGGTCTGTCAAGCCTGAATGTGTTTGGTTACTAGCTGTCTGGTTTTAATGGTTTTCGGAGCAAGCAGCAGCGATGTCTGTTTCTCTTTCAATTGGTGATCCTTTTCTCCCCAGTTCTGGCCTACCCCCATCCCTGGGCAGCCTGGCCCCTCTCAGGAGTGAGTAACCGTTCAGGACTTTTAGCTGTTCTACACATGTTGGTCTTCATGCCATTTTTGGTGGCCTTGGAGATGCCTTCTAACCCAGCACAAACGGTGTAAGATCATTATGTATCTCTAGAGCTTTCTGGAGGTGCCGTATGCCAAAGGAATGAATTCACACTTTGAAATTACACAAAGAAAGGAGGTCACATGTGATGCACAATGTTACTTTTGTTTTAAATAACCTCTCCTGCTTTTTCAGCATCAAGCCGTTTGCACAGACCCCCTATCCCAACCTACCGGGACCTGTCCCAACACCTATATCAAGTGAGAGGAACCATAGTGTTCTGTGTGTGTGTGTGCGTGCGTCTGCGTGCATTTTTGTAATTATTTCATTGTAGGGACCAGATTTCCCCACGATGTAATAAAAACCTGTGACATTTTACCTTGTGGACACCATCTTTTCGGTCCCCACAAACGTACCAAAAGTCTTGTATTTTGTTTTAGGTTTCTTATGGTCAAGATTAGCACTCACTGGGTAGGAGTTAAGTGATAGCTGGGATTAGGGTTATGCCCATGGAAATGAATGGAGAGTCCCCATAAAGATATGAATATGTGGAGTGTGTGTGTGTGTGTGTGTGTGCGCGCGCGCGCGCACGCACGCATATCTGTGTGTCCATATGTGATGCAGTTACATCCTGCAATTATGCAAGTATATTTAGTGCAGTAATTCTCAAGATGATTAAGCAAAAAATGCAAAAGCCGTGTAAGAACTGGTTCTTTGTTTTGTGACTTGCGGCTGGTCGCCCAGACGTTTCCAGTAGATTTCGATACGGCGTCCAGCCTCCACCCGCGATTGACTGGGTTAGCTAACATATAGCATTGCAGTTCGGTAGTGTGGTGTATATCGGTGTGTGTCTGTGCGCATAAATCGGCCTTGCGGACTGACGCCTGTCCCCCCCCCCCAGCCTACGAGCCCCTGCCCACCCCGCTGCCCCCGGCCGCCACAGCAGTGCCCGTGTGGCAGGATCGCACCATTGCTTCCTCCAAGCTCCGCATGCTGGAGTACTCGGCCTTCATGGAGCTGCAGAGGGACCCCGAAACGGTGAGCCCGCCCCCGGTATGTAAATCCATGCAGCCGGGCCCCACATACAACAGCAGTGTGGGCGGGGGAGGGTCGCGTGGGCTTCTAAAGCACTAAATGCCCCGCCCACACTCTCGCCCCTACAGTACAGCAAGCACCTGTTCGTGCACATCGGGCAGACCAACCCCTCGTACAGCGACCCACTTCTGGAGGCCGTGGACATCCGGCAGATCTACGACAAGTTCCCGGAGAAGAAGGGCGGGCTGAAGGAGCTCTACGAGAAGGGCCCGCAGAACGCCTTCTTCCTGGTCAAGTTCTGGGTAAGACTTCCCAGTGCAAAGCCTGGGTGCTAACTGGGTGGGCACTGTACACACTGGGTGGGCACTGTACACACTGGGTGGGCACTGTACACACTGGGTGGGCACTGTACTGGTACCACGTAGCATCTCCTTAGCATAGATATGTTTTTAGGTGTCACTCGGTTAGCAGTTAGCATTTCCATGGCATCGTCATGGTTTTAGGTATATAGTGAGTTAGCAGTTTGCATCTCCGCAGCATAGTTATAGTTTCTAGGTGTCACTCGGTTAGCACTTAGCATCTCAACGGCACAGTTATAGTTTCTAAGTGTCACTCGGTTAGCAGTTAGCATCTCCATAGCAGAGGTATGGATGCTAGGTGTCACTCGGTTAGCAGTTAGCATCTCCATAGCAGAGGTATGGTTTTAGCATATGGGTGGATACGTATTGAGGCAGCTGGATGACAGACATGCTGTGTGTACCCCCCAGGCGGACTTAAATAGCAGCGGCATGCAGGACGGTCCTGGCTCCTTCTATGGCGTGAGCAGCCAGTACAGCAGCACCGACAACATGACCATCACTGTCTCCACTAAGGTCTGCTCCTTCGGCAAGCAGGTGGTGGAGAAGGTCGAGGTGAGTCTGCCTTCGGTTTCCTCTGTCTCCCCCCGCCGCTGTCTGGATGCTGAGCCAGCACAGAACATCACTCGATGTCCATTTGGAGGAGCTTTGCTCAGCTTCCTGGTCTCACAGGAAGTTTGGTGATGACTTCCCTTTTCCTGTCCAGACGGAGTTTGCCCGGGTGGAGGGCGGAAGGTGTGTGTACCGGATCCACCGCTCCCCCATGTGTGAGTACATGATCAACTTCATCCACAAGCTCAAGCACTTGCCTGAGAAGTACATGATGAACAGCGTGCTGGAGAACTTCACCATCCTGCAGGTGGGCACCATCACCACCGTCCTGCATGTCGTGATTGCCCTCCTGCATGTTCCTCTTCATAGTCAACATACTATGACTCTGTCTTGACTGTGCTAATTGGTCTTCTCATCTGTTTGTTCCTTGACTCTTTGTGCTGATTGGTTACCTCACCCATCTGTTCCTTGACTCTTTGTGCTGATTGGTTACCTCACCCGTCTGTTTTCTCTTCCCTCCTCTCCAGGTGGTGACGAACAGAGACACCCAGGAGACCCTTCTTTGCATAGCGTTTGTGTTCGAGGTGTCAACGAGTGAACATGGGGCGCAGTACCACGTTTATCGACTTGTCAAGGACTAGGGGGTCCTCTGGGGGGAGGGGGGTGGGGTGGCAGCAGGGCTTGGGGGCTGCCTCAGAAACATTGAAAAACCAAAAAAGAAAGAAAATCACACTCAATTACACCCACAGAAACTCTCTCACACACACTCAGAAACTGACGCACACATACACAGCAACCTGGATGACAGAACAGATGGGTATATGTATATTTTATAGTACAGTGGGTATTTTTTACTATCATTACTAATTTTGTAAAATAGGAATTGTATGAAGTAAAAAGAAAAAAAAAAGCAAAAAAAACAAACTATGCACTACTTTGTGTAAGGGCAATTTCGAATATACTCTGTTTAAAAAACAAAGCAGGTTGCATCAGTTAATGTTCCTTAACTGTTTTCAGGGATGACACTAATCTTTATTGTTTGAGCTGATGGATTGAGGAAGCATAACAGGAGGGTTTTGGCGATGTCCGAAGGAGCAGACGCATCGCTATCGGAAGCTGAACGCATCTTGCGGTGGTGTCGTGGGATGAGGCAGTAAGAAGATGAGATCGAGCAGAAGAAGGGAAATCTGAACGTGGAGACGATAGCTTTCGAGCCAAGTGCAGGGGGTGTCGGACTGACTCTGAAGGCAGAGTTTTTGCCCCAGAGTGCCTTCTTGAACCCAATCACTACCTCTTGTCTTGGGTGAAGCTAACCTAGTGTTTCTCATCCCGGTCCACCGGGACCCATAGACGATCCACGTTTTAGATCCCTCCCAGTTCTCCGTCAGACCGTCCACATTTTCCACATGACCGTCTAGGGCAGAGGGTGGCCGATCTTACCCAGAAAGGGCCGCTGTGTGTGCAGGTTTTCGCTGCAACTCCCTACTTAGATTGCAAATTAGAGGCCTGATTGGCTGAAAAGTCCTCACAACTTAGTTTGACTTAAAGGTTATCCCAAAAACCAGCACACACACCGGCCCTTTGCGGATAAGATTGCCCCCCCCCTGCTCTAGGGGTCCCCTAGACCTGGGCTGAGAAACACTGAGCTAACCCGAGAACACCAAGGGGAAGACGCCAAAGGATTTGTGCGGACCGGAGGAGGCCGTTCTCCTGTTACATTCTAGATGCCTGAAGCGAACTACCTGCCTGATCTCTTTGGAGAGCACAGGAAAATGAGGAGGAACTTCACATGATGAGTGGATGGACAGTGCATTGAGTAGCAGTCTGATCTGAAGCCACACCATGAAGCAGATCAGTTACAGGGGCCGGCTGTGGAACTGAACCTAGGTTATGTTTTTTTTTTAATTGGTTGTTTGCTTGTTTTTCTTAACTAATACAGAGTAAATGCAAAATGGGGTTGAGTGTATCTACCTCCTGGCTCTTTTTAAAAGCCTTAAACTAAGAACCTGATTGGATTGCCAGAAACAGGGTACTGAGCTCAGGCAAGTGAGGAACCCTGATTTCCAGCACTTACTGCTCTCTTGCCACAGGCGTACGTTGTATGTAGCTACCTTTGCTCTCACACTAATTTGAGGGAGACGAAGAGTTTTAGTCAAAGGTACTGTGAAGTCAAATGCAGGGTAAATTACTCAAAGATGTGGAATTTTTAAAAATTTTTTGGAAGCTAACTTTATGTAAAATTAACCATTTCTTACCAGCTTGGCTACAAGCGATTGGAGGGAATGTTACACAGCAGCGGTAAAATATTTTTTCCCCCCCACCCCATGATCTGTAACTGAGCACTAATTTTTTTTTCCCATTTAATGTATTTACTCGCTCAATAGACTTGGTGCAGTGAACAAATACGGTTTTTGCTCAGCAGTCAGAATTGATGTGTTGTCGGCCCACTCAGGCCGACACACAAGTCTCCTGCATCTTTTTATCTCATAATGATCAGCAATAAAGCACGACACTGCTGCAAAAAGAGGATCTTTATGGATGTAACTGTTTACCTTCTAATGGAATGGTGCACTAAAGGTAAAGGGGCGCAGAGTATTAAACACAGGTCTCATTTTGAGATGTTTATTTTTCCTCTGACCGATTAGCTAATGGTAGCTGCACCCTAAGTTCTTTGTGTCTATGGAGAGGTCATTTGAAGTTTGGGGACTTGCATCCTATTGGACAGTGGGAAGACTGTGGAGAATTGGGAACATGGACAGAGATCCAGTACGCCTTACCGAATCTGCAGACGAAAGTGCGCTTCACTCAAGGACTTTGTACTCTTTCAGAGGAATTTGATCGCCTTGCTTGCCTTATTCATCCCTGTTTTTCTTCCCCCCCTATCTTTCTGTTTATAGTGTCTTGTCACCATGTAGCAAAGGGGAAGTGGCAGTTGCCACCACTCATATTATGCTGTGCTGTGACCATGCATTTCCTCCTGAACGGGCCCGCATCCAGGGCGAGAATGAGGTTTTACAATTGTTTTCGAGTTTGTATGTCTCAGTAGATATGAGGTAAACGCTCCTTCCTGAAGTGTGGAGATATGCAAGCATTAGAAGTGGGTGAGCAGGTGGCTTAGGGTAAGGGGATAAATGTGAGACGGACAGCTACAGTCTTCAGTCAAGGGCTTCCCCGAGCTGCCAGGTGTCACATGACCACATGATCACATGACCTAGTAAGACTCTGCCTTTCGCCAGTGTATCATTCTACCCGGCTCAGCACCTGGTGTCCAGGTCTTTTACGGGAGCTTTCACATCCATGGCATATTTTGTGTGTGTTGTTGGTATCCTTTAGGTACATGTATGGTTTTTATGCTCAAAGGGAGGGGGTGAGTTATTTTGTAATTTCTCCCCATTTTATATCCCAAATGGTGCATTGCATTCTTGTATATTGTGTTGTCTACAATGTGAGGGTTTGTATTCTATAATCAGTGTATAATCTACCAATAAAGAAATGCATGGTGCCTCAAAAGGTTTTTGTTTTTTTTTTGTTTTTTTGTCTGACTGGACAACATGTAGACGTGCATTTGAGGTTGATATTTGTTGAGACCATGGCCGTAAATTAGTGGGGGGGGGGTGTGCCCGCCTAAAGAGGTGGAGACCTTAACCCCCCCAATGTTTAAACCAAAGTTGGCCCTTGATTGAGGCTGATCATTTCTCAGCTAGACAATGGCTTATACACTAGAGTCTGAAAACCACTAGCTCAAAATTATAACACAATGATAACTATAGAGAAACGCATTATATTTCAAATTACAAAAATGTCATCTTTATAAAATTATATATTTCAACAATCCCAGACACCAATATTTAAACCTGATTCGTGATTAGTCAAAACAAATAACTGCCTACATTTTATACATTTTAGAGCTCTGCATATATAATCCTGCATTTTCCCCGCAAACACCGCTATGTTCTCTGTTGCTATTGATAACTGGTATAACTGATGGACAGTACCTCGGTTATTCATTTATTTGTGACGTAGTTCTCCAAATCAGTGATGCCTAAATAAGACATTGTTGAAGAGCTATTTAACGTCATGTAAAAATGGAAGGGATTCTTTTTACCAGTTTGAGTGAAAATAGCTTTTATTACAATGAAGTTGGAAAAAGAAAATGAAATCTATAAATGTCTTTTTTTTTTGTTGCATATTTCAAAATGTGGCGGTATACGTACAGGGCCGTAAAGACTACATTACCCAGGATTCCGTCTGTCCGAGAGGCGACGGGTGCAGTAGTCCGGTGAAAACTCTCGCTTAAGACTACATTCGGCAAAATGTCGAGCAGTTTACAGTTACACGGTTCGTGAGTGAAGGGGGAGATCAAGAGGACGTCTCGGCGACTGACCAGGTGAAGAAAATGTCGCAGCGAGGCTATCGGTTGGTCTTGATGAAGGAGGTTACTTTTCGGAGGGCTTTTCCCAAAGCCGGCAGCTGACACTGCATCGTTTTCTGGAGCTTTTCCGCTTCACAAAGTCTTCCCATGTCCAGCTGCCACTAATGTAACTTTCGCTGTATGGCGTCACCGGTGACTTATCCCGTGATCGCCTGCTCTGACATTTTATAATACTTTTGTACGCATATATATAAGTAAGGACCAGGATCGTCTTTGGCATCCCTTTGGGCTCGGTCAGTCTGTAGCGCGATGAACCAAGTTTCTGTGCAGTGACAAAGGTTTAGGGTTGTGTGTGCATGTACAGAGTTCTGTGTCTGTGCATTTTGGAGTTGTATATGCATATTTCAGGCCTGTATGTATGCATAGTTCAGGGCTGTGTGTATGCGGTGTCTGTGTATTATTCCAGGCTCAGACCGCGTTGCTGCGGTATCTCACATTAAAGAAATAATGTTGATAACACTGCCATTTCTCTAAAACTCCTACATTCATTTAAAAACGCAGAAGATGGTTGGGTTTGGTGATTTTTATGACGTCGAGCCATGATTCGCCTATGGGTAGTACAGCAGACTTGGTTTAATGAACGAATAAAAAGCTTATTTCAGATGCAACTTTTCCGCAGATAAGTTCGCTCATGCTAGAGATGCTGCATTTATCCCTGTTTGGCTGATCCTTAGACTTTTCTGAACCAAGTTTGGGGGGGGGAAACCGGTTTGGGGTCGACTCGTTAAATACTTGAGGGATATTCGAATGTGTTGTAGTTCCTCCATTTTTTTCAGTGCTCGGGGTGTTTTGACAATGTATGAGTCACCAAGTTCCTGCTGGATAACTGCCCCCCCGGCCTTCCCGGCAGGACTTTCTGGACAGTGTGAGGCTGGAGCTGCTGAGCACACCTGAACACCAGGGAGGTGTGTGTGTGTGTAGTATGGGGTGGGGTGTGTGTAGTATGGGGTGGGGTGGGGGGCAGCTACCCATTTCCCTTTCTAGCACTCCTCATGTGTTTTATGTAACCTTAGATTTTGCAGCCCAGCCTGCAGTCACCCGCATTTGCTGATCTTCTCCTGAACTTTCTGGCTGCGTCCTTGACGCCATCATGCGGTGCGATTCGCCCATAAAGCTGCGCGTCTTCTCCCTCAACTGCTGGTGGGTTTTTGTCTGTGTGTCTGTTATTGTGTCTGTCTGTGTGTCTATATGTTTCTGTGTGTATATATGTGTGTCTGTATGCGTGTGTGTTTGTGTCTGTCTGTCTGTGTGTGCCTAAATGTGTCAATCTGTGTGTCTATGTGTGTGTGTGTGTTTGTATCTGTGTTTCTGTGTGTATGTATGTGTGTGTCTGTATGCGTGTGTGTTTGTGTGTCAATCTGTGTCTGTATTTATTTGTGTGTCAATCTGTGTCTGTGTGTTTGTATCCGTGTTTCTGTGTGTGAGTAGTGTCTGCATCTGTAAGCATATGTTTGTGTTTGAATTTGTGTGTGTGTGTGTGTGTGTGTGTGTCCTGAGTAACTGTATACCTCTGTATTCAAAGGGTAGCTTGAAAAGTGAGCTTCTGAGAACTTTGTTTCTCTGTTTCCAAATTGACAAGACATCAGTGTGTCTCCTTGGTAACTGAAGTCTTCTTCAGGCTGATTTCACGTTTTTGGTGCTAAACTGTGCTAGAGGAGAGTTTTATTTGTTTTTCTTTCTTTTTCCGTACCTTACGTTTTGCAAATATTTTACCAATCATGTCTGTTACTTAAATTCGCCCATTCATGAAATAAAATGACTAAATGAGTATTAAATCAGACATGAATTCATAGGTGTATCTCTGTTATTATGTGTGACGTCCTGCTATTTGACTGTTGGACTCGCAGCTTGTGATCTGTGCTTTATAGCTTGGTTAATTTTTTGGGGTGGGGGAGAGGGCAGATTAATTAGCAAAGCTTTGTTTATATACATATATCATTGACCTTGGACACTGCTGGAGGTATCTGCTTTTACTGCATTCCCAGTTGGTTGGTTTAAAGTCTCATGCTGCGGATGTGAAACCTCTAGCCGACTTCCTGTCTCTGTTCCAGGGGCATCCGCTACCGCAGTCTGCATTGCACTGAGCGCTATGACATGATCGCCGACCTGCTGGCCAGAGAGGGACATGATATTGTGCTGCTGCAGGAGGTGGGTGGAGCTTAAATAGTCATGTGACAGCCCAGGACTCCCCAGTGTCCTTCCTGTTAGACCCAAACCCTGCAATGATATGTCCAAAATGGGAAACTTTATCATAAACTGCAAAAAAAAATAAAAAATGCATTGCAATACTGGGGCATTTTATTTAGCCGAGAGAGATGCAGATCTAACCATTGCTGTTTGTGTTTTATGTGTGTCTGCTTATTTTAAACATTTCAATCATTTGAAATGACTGCGGTTTTGAAAGCAGTCAGTGTTCTGCTGAAGATAAAAATAACTATTTCTGCAAGCATATCAATTCTACTCTCTTGAGTTTCAGTGCTAGCTGGGAAATATCTGTCAAAGATGCAAGATGATTATTAATTCGATAAAGGGTCGTTTTGGGATATATAATTTCCTTTCAGATATTTACAGAATAATCTAGGGATTAGTTCCCCTCTTCGTTCAGCTCTTTCCCAAGGACAGTTTCTCCGCTGTAATAAAGGGGTTTCATTTTCCACCTACATGTCTTTTCTTGATCCGTCTGGTATGGTGAGTGTGAGGTGGTTTGTGCTGTAGGTGTGGAGTGAGAAAGACTTCCTGTTGCTGAAGAAAAGGCTCGCCTGCTGCCATCCGTACTCCCATTACTTTAAGAGGTGAGTACAGCTGTGAAGCTGTGATCTCCTCGAACCCGGGACCATTGGCCTCCACTAATACTGCTGTGCTCTCCCATTTCTGATGGCGGGGGTCTGTCAGCAGGAAGATTTCCTTTTACTCTTAAGGGCCCCGTGTCACTCAGGACTAGCGAACAGGTTTCAAGTGTCAGGTTTTTTTGACGTGTGTTTTTGGATGAACATTGTGAGATTCTTATGTCACTGTTGCAGGAGAGGGGACAGTAGGACAGACAGTAGCATGCATTTATAGACAAGATGGTGCAAGACATCATTTAATTTATTTAGTTTTATCCACATTTTTGAGATAGCAGAAATATCCAGTCCCTGGAGCAACTGGGGGTTGAGGGCCAGTGGTAACATCACTCTGGCAGCCATGGTTTCTGAACCAGTGACTTTCTGATCAGAGGCACAGTGAGCTAACCCACACACCACCCCCACGGCAGTGCAATATAACAACAAGTGGACAATAAATACGTAATGAGTAGGCTGAGATGGGGATAAGGGTGTGGTTAGCGCAGACTAAGGGGGGAGCTGCCCCACTGAATCGGTGGCGATGAATGCGGTCATTCTCAGTAATGCAGTGTCACTGGCAGTAACACGCTTTGCGTGCGGCTTGTTTGCAGTGGCGTCATAGGAAGCGGCCTGGCTGTCCTCTCCAAGCACAGCATCAGGGACTCGTTACTCTTCCGCTACTCGCTGAATGGATACCCCTACATGGTAAGCAGCTCCCCGGGGCCTTAGATCAGAGCTGCATTCATGCGTTCTTTCTTGAAAATGTCTAAAAGAATGACCCCCCCCCCCCAGTATCTAAAAGCCCACTGAAGTAAGCTCATTACGGAGACGTGAGCTCTGCCCTGTCTCTCTCAGGCGCACCATGGAGACTGGTTTGGCGGGAAGGCCGTGGGGCTGGTCGTCATGAACATCCAGGGGCGGACGGCACACGTCTACGTCACGCATGTGAGCCTGACTTCAGATAAGATGCAGAGCTGAGTGACTCAGGATAGTCATTACTGTGGGGGGTGTTTGCCTGACTGTCGATTTCGATGCTGCAATCCGGCAAACTCTACCTCCACTATCGCCCCCCCCTTTTCCCTGCCATTGAAGCACATGCTTCCAAAATTATTATCACGGTACTTTTTTGAACGGTGACAGTATTATATCACGGTATTACTTTTTTTTCCAAGTTTTGGGAGGAGTAGTTTGTCCTGTCCCTTTATATAACTAAAAAGAAATGTTTTATGATATATTAAGTACACTTTAATTGCTATTACATTTGGCTATGGGCGGTTTTATTTCGAAAAGATACAAAAAGTGACATAGGTGATGTTTTCTCATATTTGATTTGTAATTGTCGGTGTAAAAACGCAAAGGGAATGACAAGCCGCTTCAGCCGAAAACCGTGCATTTTACAGTACATTTCAAATAAAACTCAGGGTTGCTAACTTTGATTTTCAATTCAAGACAAGTCTGCACACGCATTTACATGTATGTAACAGTTTTATTGCCTTGTAAATTGTTTTTAAGGTTTGCAAACTACCCGAATGTAGCTAATTTTAGGTTTATAATGCATTAATATAGATTTGCCGCAAGATTTCTTGCGTGAGAGTCTGAAAGAGGGTGCGCCGGATGCGTAAGTTTTGGCAACCCTGAAAATTGTGTTTTAATTATTTCACCTGAGTTGATTTGTGTAAAAATGAACTTTATAGAGTTATGATAAATAACGTAAACTTTGACGAACACGAAGCCACCAATAAACTACATCTATTTATCCAACATTTTATATAATACTGCATTTGAAAACATTTCAGCTGTACGATTTCAGAACAAAACGGCCACTCTATTAGAAACATTGCGGCTTTTTGTTTGAGCGTTAGATTCGCTGCTGCATTAGCGCGAACGACAGGGCTGCATACGCTGAAGTGCGCCTTACTTGGAGGTTAAAGGAGTTTGACGTTCATTGGCGTGGGAAAAGGGGGGTTTGCAGAGTTAACTGGGGAGTTGTGCCTTTTACTACGCACCTTATATGAAGGCTACGGCGCATATATATGCTGATTTAGCGAATATGTTTTACTTTGTAATTTGCTATTATATATATGTAACAAGGTTATTTTGTTATAATTACACAAAATCTGTTTATTTTGAATTTGTTAGTTTGCTATCGCGACACACTGTCAGAGTGTGTAACAGAAAAATCACACAACGCAGATAAACCGGTTACATATACTATATAAGGACAAGTATTCAGATTACAACTGAAGCTTTGAGGAAAATAAAATGCTTTATTTTCTATAATTAGGTTGTTGAATTATCGTGGTGTTAACGGTATAATGCGAATTTATATCGTGGCGCAGAATCACACCGGTAATGACCCCGGTGTACCGCCCACCCCTACTTCCATCTTTCCCTTTAAGTACGGTGGCCCTGAAGTGCAACACACAGCATGCTAAAAACGCAAAACGTTAAGAAAATGCAAAAGAAAAACAAACACAAAACGTTGAGAAAATTCAAGAACATTATTAAAATACACACAGAAAAATTCTCAACATTTTTGTGTCTTTTGATTTTCTTAAATATGTATGCATTTATGGATATTTTTGTTTCTTCAAAGTTTTCATTCGTTTATGCTTTTGCACTTCTCTAATGTGTCTGTGTTACCTTAACGGGTAGTGTTTGTGGCACTTCTGGGCCACCGTACTTGCTAACAAAGTCGGGCTAATTTAGCGCCAGGGCTGCCTGTTCTTGAATTTATAGAGCCCTGTAAGTATGAGCAGTAAGGACATGTGTCCTCCACAGCTCCACGCCGAATACTGCCGGGAGCAGGACACGTACTTGCCGCACAGGGTGGTGCAGGCCTGGGAGCTACAGCAGTTTGTCCGGTGAGTAAATATCAGCAGTGCCCCCAGAAATGCATTCTGGCCACTGTCACTCAGATCTGACATAATGTTACCTGAATGAAGATCCCACATGACTCTCTGTAATGCTGACTTGCAGCCACACCTCCTGTGGGGCGGACCTGGTCATTCTGGGGGGTGATTTGAATATGCACCCCCAGGACCTTGGCACCCGGCTCTTGCGGACATACACGGGTCTCCGAGACTGCTTCATGGAGACGGACAGTTTTGACGTGAGTGAGTTTCCCCCCAATGCATGCCGTGACACCTGCGATACTTGCCTTATGCTCCTCCGGGCAGCAGGGGGCGCTGTGCTTGTGTTTAAACCGGCCTCAGCTAACCTCCAGATATGCGGGTGCTGATGTTGGCAGGGTTGTGAGGAAGGCTTCACCCTTATAGCAGACAACCCCTTCACAGACAACAAGGAGCTTCTCCCCTTTGAGAAAGGCATCCGGATTGATTATATCCTCTTCAAGGTGAGTGGGATGGATGGATGGATTATGAATCCCAAAGGAGATTTCAGGTTTACAGTAGCACAACATACACAAAGAGTAAAAAACATTGACAGTATAAAACAGTAACTTTTTATAAATGACAATGGAAATTGTCAGTGCAAAGAATCTCTTGATAAGTCTTGCATGGAATTCCATAGTAGCAGCTCTGTGAAAAATAGTGTTGCACATGGTCGCGAGCTTTTCTGGATCTCCCTCGTTTTGGTCTCGAGAGAGACTCCAGATGCCTGGACAGTAACACAGCGGCCCTCCCTGTCTCGCAGGGGTCCGACAGGGTGAGCGTGAAGTGCGAGTTCCTGACCACCACCAAGGGCTCAGTTCCCGGGAAGGCCTTCCCATACTCGGACCATGAGGCCTTGAGTGCCGTGCTGCTTGTGCAGCCGGGCGGGGCGGCCGTGAAGAGCTGCGGGGAAGACGACGACATGGGTAACAACCTCAGGGGGTCTTGTGATGTTTTTCACCTTTCCCCCCCATATGCAGTTCAAATAGGTCATGTGTTACTTCAGCGTGACTGCTGGCTTGCAGTTTTTCTCTGGGAAACGTTAGGAAATGCTGATTGGGTGGTTCCCTTTTGCATAAAGAAACCCAGCTTTACACGGCTGACGTTGTTCAGGGTCCATCAGGGTGGGGTGGGGTCCCAAGGTCAGGAAAGTGATGTCACCATTGGGCCCTTGAGCGAGGCCCTTAACCACAATTGCTCCAGGAACTGGCTGACTCTGCTTTCTTAATAATGTGTCATTTTGGGTAGAATAATCTTCTAAATAACCCTAACTTACACAGTTAAGCTATTTTTAATTCTTTCATTTAGTTTTTAATTCTTGCAGACCGCCACAGTGGCTCAGTGAGCACAGTTGTGGCTTCGCATGACCTGGGTGGTGGGCTTGAATCTTAAAGCTCCTCTCCCTCACTCCGCAGTGGGCCTTGCCGAATTGGTGAACACCGTAACGGAGGCTCGCACTGAAGTGAAGGTGGGCCTGCACTGCGCCCAGCGCATGCTGCACACGGTGACGCGCACGGGGGCGCTGGGGCTCGTCCTGCTGCTGCTGGAGCTGGCCATCGCCGCCGTGCCCTACCTGGCCCCTGCCGCCGGGCAGCCCTTCCCGCAGGCCTCCTTCTACCTGCTGGGGGCGCTGTGCTTCGTCACCCTTCTCGGATCCCTGCTGCTCTTCGTCTTCCACAGCATGCAGGTCAAGGCCCTGCAGGGCGCCGAGGACCAGATGCGGCTGGCGGCCAGCGGGCTGCAGGAGGAGCTCCGCGGACGGCCCCTGTGCCGTGATGGGCGCCCCCTAGGGGAGGCTGCAGGCCCCGACGCTCTCAGTGAAGACAGAGAGCCCGACTCTGATGACTCCATTTCACGAGTGAATCACTCCGCTAGAGATTGAGGGGGTTAGGGATATAGCGCAGGCGTTTTAAATGAAGCAGAAATTAAGTCTCTTTTAAATTCTTTAATTTTCATTGTTCCCTTTCAGGAGAAAACCTGAGAAGTCTTATTTGTGTATCTTCAGGTGTGCTTCATGGTTCTGCTCCCTGGACCAAAACAATCCCACCATATTAGCAGGTGGTATTCAGCGAGGTCCTGCCGCATGGTGGACCCATGTTCGGCAAGCGTTAGGGTCACATGCTGAGCAGTTAGTGCGGTACCCAGCAGTCCCATTCAGGGGGTCCTGCTCCTGATAAAGGATGGGGGGGGGGATTGGTCACTTCTTGTCTCAGGTCATCCTCCCGCTTTCTCACCAGATTTCCACTCCTTGATCACCCCCCCCCCCATCTCGTCCCCGAGCCCCGGGCCCAGTTTCTCAGGCTAGGCCAAGTCCCGTTTCCTTAAATCCGCCCCATTCTCTCAGGTCGCAGGAAGCTACAGCTCACCTTCGGGATCCATGTCAGTGCCGCCTCTGGAGTTCGTCACACGTGGCCCAACCTGCCGACAGCAGCTCGTAGAAAAATACAAGGCGTTCTTAAACGTCCTGGAACTTCATGACTATCACTCAATATCGCTGTACTGTACTGCTATCATTCTTGGTATGTTGAGCCTCTGGCTCATTCTTTGTACTTAAGACCAGACTGAACGCTTTTAAACCAGATCCACAGGGTGACCAACATTGGCTGGTCAATTCAGTATCGTTTAGTGCCATTAATGGCCAGTGGACAAATGACTTCAGGTTCCTAAATGAACTTAGATAATCAAAAGCCTTTAATTCACATTAAAGGCCCAGATAGGCCTCTTCCTTCAGACAAACATTTCATAGAATGTTTAGTGGGGTGGTGGAAGTTAAGTTATAACTCAGCTGGTTTATATTAGAAAAACTGCTCACCCGATTACCTTCTCTGCATTTCATAACTAATAATAATGTTGTGATTAATTAGTTCAATTAATTAGTCTAAATAAGTACCTTTGCACTGGAATGCTACTAATCTACCACATTTAGGTAACCGTTCTTTGCCGCGATATAGCACAAAATACACGTCTGAGCACTTGAAATACTTGGTATATGCTGTTATCTTGCATTCCTGGATTGGCACTGTGTACATACACACACGCAAAGAAAAACTGGGAGATTGAAAGCTCTGCTGCTTCCTTATTTCTGCTTGGAAAAACGGAGTGAAACGAAAATAAACGCTCCTCATGACCTCAGCTTCTCTGTGTCCTTTCTGAGCTGTTAAGTCCTGACTTAGCCTGTGTTCTGCAGTTTAATTATTTCTGAGTACTGCTTGGGAGAAACAGTACGAGAAGACCTGCAGAAGTCTATATATTTCATATCACAGCACTTAACTGGGATTCTGTGTAAAATAAAAATGCCTTTTAAAATTAAACATTTAAAATTAATTTTAACTAAACACCTGTATGCAGCAGACAGGCTGTTTAGGCACCAGGAATAAATGTGCTGTACTGTAACATATACGCTGTCGTGTTTGGTCCAGGTTTCCCCGCGACCCTGGACCGTCTCCCCGGTGGCTTCTAATGGATTTCTGATGGGTATGAAAGATCATAGTGTTTCTGCCGCTTCCTTCCACGATAAACGACCGGTTTTCCCCCACGGTATCTAGTAACACGCGTTTATTCCATCTTCCAGTCGCTTGGTAACTAGTTAAATTCCTAATCCATGTGTCTCCAGCTGTCATCCCAACTGCCGTGTATCTGATCTGCATGGCCTCAGAATAAACGCCGTGCAAACCGCAGAAAGAGCACGGATGGTTGACGCACGTGGTGTAGGTGCTCTGTTCTTACACCTACCTACCACTAGGGGGCAGCGTGACGTTATAAATGTGCAATAGTGCGGCGACATCGATTCCGTGTTTGTTTCTGCCACATTTTCTCCAGTTTAAAAAAAGACTTCAAATGAAATCAAAATGCAGGTACTTGTTTTCTGTTCTGATATTTTCTTTTAACCAGCCACAATTTTTACTGTTAAGTCCTTTGGTGGGTTGGCTAATGTTAGGCGTTCAGTTTAGCTGATAAAACATTAATTCATGCAAACAAATCCACGTGTACCTAATGTATGTCAGTTTTACCTTTCTGTGTTTAGATTCGTTTCCAATTTTCTCCATGTTATTGGAAATGTGCGATACACGAATGGGAGACTTCAGTGTTTTAAACACCTCACGATTAAACTATACGTTTAAATGGCATCGCCCGTGTAAAATCTGATAATACACAAACCCCTCAGTTTATTGTGGTTTAGACGCAAAATCAATTCTAATATATGCCGCCCTGCATTTTATGAGAATGTCCAGTATGTGAGGAAGTCGGTGATGCCGTGTCTAAAGTCTGACACGAGGGAGATGGTGGTGCTCCTCTTCCTCACCCTCGTCGACCCTCTTCCTCACGCAGCGGGGCTCGCCTTACCTGGTCCTCCTTCCACCTGCTGGGGGCGCTGTGCTTCATCATCCTGCTCCGATCGCTGCAGCTCATCTTCCACAGCATGCAGGTCAAGACACAATAATCAGGACTCGGATTAAAAACAACTGCATTCTGCCGTTTCACCTACCCGCTTGTTAGCTATCTACTAGTTAGTTAACCGAGTTAATCATATTGAATCATCCATCAAGCCTACACACATAATAATGATAGGACTGGGAACTATTAGTGTTACACTTAAATTACATTTACCTTATGCTTACTAAATCCTGCAGAGGTGTTTGCTGTGGACTTACCTTTGAAGCCCATATCACACACCACTACAAGATTTTGTTTCACCATCTTAGAAACATTGCCAAAGTCCATCCTACTCTCACCTTATCAGACGCTGAAAAGCTGGTTCATTCTTTTATCTACACCAGACTAGATTATTGTAATACTCATTGGAATCCCTTCAAAGACTCCAATGCATTCAGAACAACGCAGCAAGGATCCTGATGAGAGTGAAGATATGAACATGTTACGCCCATCATTCTTCATTCACTTCACTGGATTTCCCTTCTTACTCACCAGGGAATCCATGGCAATGTCCCCCACCCCCACCCCACCTGAAAGAACTACTTACCCCACTAACCTCAACGCGATATCTCTGCTCTATGAACTCCAATCACCTCCTCCGCCCCAGGACTAAGCTCAGCACCATGAGTGATTGGGCCTCCTGTTCGGCTGCCCCTCATCTATAGACCCCCAGGGACCATTTCAAGGCACCACTGACTATTGTGAATTTTTAAAAAACACTTAAAACATTTTAGCAGAACTAATGGCTTTTAACTGACTATGGGAGTTTCTGCATTTTTAAAGTCGTTTCTCGTTGTTTTTTGGGATGATGTTTTCATTTTTGTAGCACTTTAGCAATTTACATGTGTTTCAAATGTAAAGTGTTACAAAATAAAATGTATAGTTATAATAATTATTATTAGTTACCTTACACACATGTATTTGGGAAAACTGTGTTTTGCATTTTATGAGTTCTATATTCAGAACCAATTAAAATGGGAGATGGGAGGGAAGCACCCAGTGAGCCAATTAAATTTATTTATTTTGGGGGGGGGCAGTGCCACTCTTTGCCCTTCCATTGGCTCCGCCACTGCATACTCCAGGGCTACTGTCCCACTGCATACTGGGTAATGTCCCACCACCCTCACTGAGCATACAGTTTGAGTATTCTTTGAGTATTCTCTATTATGATGAAGAAACGGAGTAAAACCAACACCTCATATCCACACTGAAACCACTCAGAAAAAAATGCGACATTGTCTTCAAAATGGCCCAGCAGAGATGGGCTTAGTAAAAGACTGTATAGACAGCTGAATGGATCTGGTTGTCACTTTTTAACCCATTCTGACCCTTTAACACAAACCTTCTGACTAACCATACAAATGGATAAGGAGATGAGATTCCCGACCTTCTTAATGGAAGTTTTTTTGGCCTAATGGTAATGGACCCAACTTTGGCTGTCAACAAACTGGAATGAATGGGTAAAGGGTCTGTTCATGACAGGTCTGTGACAGCAGCTGGATGAAGATGCATCACCAGGATATGAGGCTTTTCCAAAAATGTCACTAAGCAGAAGCTGCAAATCTTCTGGGGCAAATTCCTTCACACTTACCCACACCATTAACACACTAAAAAATCATGTTGTGACAGTTCACAGTTCACCTTTGTGCAACCCACTGCTGAAAGTAAATAAAGGACTCCTTCTTCAATTAACAACACAAAAAAATATGCTGATTGTATATTTCATGCAAAAAATATGAATGATTTCATCTTTATGCTGGTTCTAAGACTCTTTTATCAGTCTTGGACTGTGCTGTGCCTTTCAAAGATGATTTAATCTCTTTATCCATGCTTAACATTTACTTAGGAGAGAGAGTCACACGCCTGAACTAAAATCAATCACAGGTTCCGGAAAAGGACAGCATTTCCAACCGAACTTGTGTACAAATGACAAATAGTTTTGGTAAGATGTCTAGCAATCTGTAGCAGTAAGAAGCAGAGTTGTATAATCCAATTAAGCTTTAAGGTTGTTTTACAGAGTTGTATGTCGTAAAATCGATAGTCTCCACTGTGTGGCGACAGTGAGCACTGCTGTTGTTAGTTTATGGGAAATATTTGTGAACTACGTAAGTTGCTAACATGAGCTTTTGGGAAATGTACCCCTGAAGGATGTTGGAGATTTTCTGTGCAGAGTCGAGAGTGGCAAGGTGCCTCAGACCCCCCAGATGTGAGTCCTGCCTCTGCTCCCTACAGGTGCCCCTCCCCCCATTTTCATTGGCTCTGAGTAATGTCAGTCACAGAACACTTAAGGCAGTTTTCCCAAGTGCACATCCGTGCATGATTATTGCGTAATCTGTAGCCAACATTGCTCTGGCTGTGCTTGAGTGGAGCTTGTTAGGACTCCCTTTGGTTTCCTGCAGTCCAAAGACATGTAGTTAGGCTAATTGGTGTTAACACATTGCCGATAGCGTGTGCGTGTGCGTGTGCGTGTGTGAGCCCTGTAACAGGCTGGATTCCCAACCTGGGAGTAGCTCTGCCAGGTGATGCCAGATGCAGGCTCCAGGCAGCACTATAAACCTGTCCTGGATTAGTATTTAGAAGATGGATGGATCTCTACCAAGATTTTCCCAAAAGCTATGAGAACAGCAAAGCTCGCTGTGTCGCCACAGGGTGGTGACTCCTGGATTCATGTCATGCAACTCTGCAAAATAGCCTTAATGCTTAATTAGACTGCACCGCAAAAATACAATTTGCACCTGTTTTTGCAATGTGAATGACACAGAAATCTTGAAATATAAAATAATCAAAACATGAACGAAAACCTTTAAGTTGCTAACGTTATTAGCAACGTTGCTTTTGGGAAATGTACTCCAGATGAGATGTCCAGTATGTCACTTCTCACTTTTCTTTTCTTTGGGTCGTCTTTATGGTAATCTTTTCATACAGTCTCTCATGGTAACTGAAGATGAAACACGACTGTCCACGCGCTGCGTTAATTCCGGACATTACCTGTCGGCCTGTCAATCATAGCAAATTTGGTGAAATTTATGAGGAAATAGTTCCTGTTCAACTTTATTTGCAAAAACATGGGTGCGATGGGAAATGATGTTGTCTCATCACCCCCCAACTCTCACCAGAATACTGATTAAACTTTTGGCTCCCTTAATTAATTCTTATATGTGTATGCAATTAACTTAATTGTTATTAGCTCAGTTTTACTAAAACCCATGTCTTGTCCCTGGAGCATTTGGTTTGATTCCTGATTTCTTCATTCATGACTCTCTGGCTTGATTTCCTGCTTCACAGTTTTTGAACTGGACTTTGATTACCTTTGTCTGGGCCTGCAACACTGCAGCTGGATCCCCTCTAGTCAGTTTCGTGTTGAGGACAGAAGAGGAGTGTTACAATGGGGGCGGGGAGTGCAAACAGGGAGGGTCCCCCCTCGGTAAAATTTCTCCAGCGGGGTAGGCGGGTGGCATTACTAAATAGTTCTTAAATAGTCAATTTTCTGTGATCCTCGCTTATGAAAAGGGGGGGACAGGGGTCCCCCTAGGTACATTTTGCTGGGGCGAATGCCCCTCAACTCCCCCCCCCCCCACCCACCACTATTTCTTGTCGGCTTGTCAAACATGTTCCTGTGTCTGTGTGTTTTGTGCAAGAACATTTCTATATAACAATTTGATGTGTGAAATATAGCCTTGTGCACGATGTATCATTTTCACTATAAATTTTCGGACTCATCCTGGACAGTTCACTGCTCACCAGATAAATCGTGTAACAACATATTGATTCAACAATTGCTACAATCCTAAAATAAAATAGATCCAAGAAGATCATTTTACTGGAATTCCCTTATTGACAATAAAACGCAGGAAAAGCATAGCTGGCAGTTCAAATACTGTTTGTAAGTATTGTATATCTAGGCCTACATTATTAATAAAAGTTCACTTTAATATTCTACATAAAATTTATCCATATACTTTGCTTGTTACAAAATACGTCTGTGGTAATACTGATGAAAACCTTTTTATTGCTGTAACATAGTGTTTACTTTTTGAAGAAAATGTAAGCACAATTATTATTTTACTTATAATTCTTCACATAAAGGCATCATTTGTTCGAAAACCAAAACAAACCCCTCGAAAGTTTTGTAATGTCACTGTTCATAAGCCATTATTGAAGAAGGTAAGCTACCTAAGTTTCATTTAGGTGTGTTACGTATTAAGATGAGCTCTTTAAGCAAAGCACAGAACTGTTCTTACCTACTAGTTTATGTATGTAAAATTTCACGGTACATTTCATGTTGTCTTGCACTCTTTTTAATACTATTTCTGCTGTTTGGTTGTTTGTTTTTCATTTTCATATTGTGGTATTTTCACGCTATATCTTGTATAACTTAAGTTGTCCTGATGAATAAGTTGCCCTGTTTTCTAATAGTTACCGGATTCAGTTCTCTTTGATCAGTCTTTCAACACGAACACAGACGATTAGCACTGACAGCAACTTTTCATTCCCCGGATCAGGCGTTATCCACCGGTAATCTGGTATCTGCCTGCCCGCTCCTAAAGACCATATAACAAATTAGAGCCACTTTTGAAAGTCTTAATAAAAACACATATATGCTCATATGAATCCCACCCTGAGACATAAGGCTGAGCCTTAAACTACAGCAGCTTCTGCGTGATGCAGCTGTTTTATGGTGTCTTCCGTCTGCCCTGATTACTTCACAAATTATGCTTCCGATCTTACAGAAATAAGGCCTAATGATGGCTGGCTGCCTTAACGTAAGCCTATTTTCTTGGTTTGCACAGTGCGTAATGTTAGTTGATAAATATGAGACAGTGTTATATTGTTAAACCGGCACAGTCCCGGTATTTCCCCTTAACCTTTGGCTCTGTGGCTTTCAGCTTGATTCACTCCGCTGCTCTGCAACTTCTCACATTTCAGCAAAATCTCTCCTCATTTCTCATTTTAAAGGTCCACCAGTAAACCCATTTAGGCCTACCTTTTTCCAGCTTACTACATCAATGATGTAGACCTATATCTTTGTGGTTTTAGGTCTACATAGGTCTAGATCTATATTATTGTTGTTGCTGTTTATTATTAGTATTATTATTATTATTATTATTATGTTGTCCTAAAAAAGAGCATCATTGTGTTTTTGTTATCTTTTGCGACCTCTATGTCTATGTGACATAGTAACAGGCAAAAGTTCCAAATAAAGAATAACTTAGAAAATAAGGAGTGGCTCGGATCATACACATAGTTACGCAGTTTCGGCCTAAAAGATAACTAAGTATTATGCGTTAGGTAAGTAGCGGGAAAAGTACACATGTTAATTTATTCCTCAGAACAGATTAAGCAGGCAAACCCACATCACGCGCACAGGAATCAATAGACCTACATAGCATAATTTACAGTAACGTTTAATTTTTATCTAACTTGTTAATCTCACTTTATTTGATGAGAGCCAGTTTGCCTTAGGGTTGTGTAGCTGTTAAAGATTTGTACTTAAAATATATATTTTTTTATTTTTCACCCATTGTCACCAATTAGCCTATGTATAAATCGACAGTAAAGTTTTATGAAGGATTTTTTTTTTTTTCATTTTTAAAAGATGGTCATGTTTGGACCGGCACAGAAATTTAATAAATATACTAAAAATATTTATAAAGATGACAATAATTATTACTTGCCGTAACTGGAGTCAGAATAGAGTGCAGGAGAGGTACCTTTCCAAGTCTGGGCGAACATAGGCGGGGGTGCGCCCTGGCGCATCGCCGCCTGCCCCGTCAGCAGCGCCTCTCTGACGGCCCGCCGCCTCCTGGCGCAGCGCCGCGCCGCATCAGCCGCTTTCCAGCCCGTACGGCTCTGCTTTCCCAGAAACGGAAAATAATAAAACTATAATTCGCTATAAAATTATAATTCGCTACTTCCAAGTTCCTGATTTTCCGCGTCCGGCTCGATCATTTTTACCGCCGGGGAACCCCCTTCCCTGCCGGCAAATTTCATTGTAAAATTTCATTCCTCCTTCACTTGGCAAAATCACCCTTTTTTAATAACCTAGTGTTGGCATGTATGAATTTGACATGTCTCGTTTCTCATAGTGTCAAAAACGTTATTATATAATATTATATAACACTTAACACATAAGGTAAGACGGACAAATCTAAACATAGACATAATATATAAGAAAACGAGTCATACCAAGAGGTACCAAAATATACATGTTCTGCCAAAATATGACTGGACTTTGAGGAAATGGGTATCATAACTATTCCGTAAATTGAATGCAGCGTTTATCTTAATATTGTGGACTGGATATTTCGGCCACAATATCCGGCGGTGGTGGAGAGTACTGACATATTTAACATTATAAGCTCACACGAAGGGAAATGCGATGACCTGCAGGCTCCTGATTTTTGGAAATCTGTGGTTTTTAATAGTGTCACTTAAACAGGAATTCGTATCAGCCTGAAATGAACACCCCTATAATTTGAGCGAGTGAAATCTACAGGGAAACCTTCTGAACAGAACAAGGAGACAGAAACTATAGTGTAGTTTACACATATAGGCTAATTACAGTTCAGTCAAATTTCACATTTCTAACTGTGGGAAATTTACAACCTTCTTTTTTGACTAAACTGTATTTTTAGCCTACGTGGAATTCCTGTAGGCCCATAAATATGCGTGTTAATACATAGTATACACAAATCCCGTCTTTTGGGTATTATTTCATCTTGTTACTGTGTTAATACAGGGCTGGTCCTGGGAAACATATCTGGTTTCATCGTTAGAGCTAGATTATACAGTATATCTACGTCGCTTTTAATTCAGCCATTTCCGTACTTTCATCACGTGTTAATAAATATTTTAAAGATCAATAAGTTTTTTCGCTACTCAGAACTGGATTATCCGATTTAATAATTTCCTCGCGTATCATTTAAATGCTTAATGCTTTCTGATCAAATAAATAATAGTCTTCTGTTTTCGGTAATTTTTTACAAGCACTGGTAAAATACTGTTGCATCAGGACTGAGCATTTTTAATGTGATAAAAATAGTCGGCCTCTTGAATAAAGCTTAGGTTGGTCTATGTAGGCCTACCGTGTAGAGCACTGCAATAATATACAATTAACTAGGCTACATATGATTACGTTATTGATCCCAGAGGGAAAATTCTTGTGCATAAAACGCAAGTTCATTAAATTGAACAGACACAAACTTATAGCCTAGGCCTAGTGCAAAACAAAGTGCAAAGACAATAGAAATGGTGCAAACAGGTAAATATGGTGCAAACAAATGAATAGGGGTTGGATCTTTCCGTGTCGAATATTGTTCAGGAAATAAATTAGTCGTATATGTGCAATTAAAACAATTTCCTTCGGGGTAATAAAACTCTTCTGATTCTAAAAGACACACAGCACCAGACTTTTGCTGCGATCTGTGGTCTGCATGCATGAGATCGGGTAAGAGAGTGAAACGCAGCACTTAGACAAATGGTTAAAGTCCGAGGCGTTTGGGGAGGTTTCAGTCTCGGTGAATGCTAGATACAACCTGCGGGTATTCAGCAGCTGCAGGAGGCGGGGTGCAGGTGTGGCAGCTCCCGGTAGGTGCCTGGGAATAGAAACTCCTCGGTACGCCCGCGAAGGGAAGCGACGGAGCCGATCGGCCCACGGAAACATATTTTTTTATATATTTTTGATCGACAAAGTTCCGCTGTTTGGAGGAGAGAAAAAACGCTTTGAAGATGACTATGGAGCCGTTCCGCTCGGCCTTGTCCTTAGGGGCCAGTGAGGACACGTCCCTCGCCCTCCCGTCAGATACGAACCTGCGGACGGGCCAGCGCCGCGTCCTGGACCAGGTTACCACCATCAAGCGGAGCAAGTTGAGGCAGAGTAAAAGTGGATCCATTTCGCCTACAAGTAAGATCCTCCACCTAATGTTAATGCGCAGCCTTTGCCGAGTATTAATGAAATGTATCCGGTCACTGATTAAACGTGAAGGATATGATTTTTTTTTTTTTTTTAAACTGATTCGATTCAAAGTAAAGAGATACATGCGCAGCATGATGCGCTTCCATGTATTTATGTGGAAACTAATGCATTAGTCATATAGAAGTTTGTATACGACATTATGTAGCAAATATTTATGCATGTGTATTAATTATGCTCGGTGAGAGATTTAGTATAGCCTAAGTAAAATTAGCTAGCTGAATTTAGAAAACTGTTTAGTCTCAGTTTTAAACGATCACTTGTTCCTCGTCGTTTGTTTATATATTTGTTTATGGATAGACTAATCTCGAAGTGCAACCTTTTGTTGAAATTTATACGTGAATTAAAACCCAATAATTCAAAAAGGAAACGCACTTCGTCTTTTAAGCAGCGCGGAATGACATGCGCTTTTTAAGCAGCGCGGAATGTTTTCATGTTTTAAAAACAATACTGGATATGTATTCTTAGTAAATGGCATTTGTTTGTGGCTTTCATTTTGAGGGATGTGGGAGGCCTATAAAAATTACAGAATAGTATAGAGTCGTATCATTATAAAGACAATAAGCAAAAGAGGTGACAGATATAGCCGAAGGGTACGAACGTTCCCGAGTGTTTGCGAAAACTTTATTTGCGCTTCTTTGGTGTGCGCAAAAATTCAGTCATATAAAAGAACATCGAAATATAAATATAAGGGGATAGATAGATAGATAGATAGATAGATAGATAGATAGGACTAATAAGAACAGATTTAATTAAAGAGGCCAGCTTCACTCTACATGTATGGATAAACTATTGACGTAGACTAGTTCTCCGTCATATCTTGCCTGGCTGTCAGCAGTGTTACCAGTAAACACAAACGTGTTGGGTATCTATTCCCAACTGACCCTTTCTCGGCCGGCTAGCTGACGTGGGTTAAACATTTCCCGTTTTGGGAGTCTTTTCAGACTGTGAGGCGTCCTTCCTACTTTTATGCGTCAAGATATTTCTGCTCCTGGCGTTTCTTTTGTGTAATGGTTTCTTTTTGTTAGACCTCTGCTTTGTTTTGAGAGGTTAAACAGGCTGCAGAAATAATGTCTTTTAGATTTGGTTGAACCTTATACTGTCCTGGCGCCGTGAGCCCCTAAAGTGTGAGTGTCCTATTGTAAGTATATAGCCTGAATTTCTGAGTACGACTCAAGGAGCACTGTGAATGGGATGCAGCTTTAATCATTTCTCCATTAGTTAAACATTTATAGGCATTTGAAATAATGTTTAGTAGAAGATATTGCAATAATGCAAAAAGTATGGGAGAAAAAAAACAGAAATGGTTCTATGTCCGTCAGTGTAAAATTTGAATATGTGCGTTCATGTTTCAGTGATTTGTGGCTGTCAGACCAGCCCCTCCCCCCATTATTAATTTGGCTTCATTCATCCCCCAAATCAAATGACTGTTTAATAATTTAAATTAAGTTGTGCCCCCCCCCAAGCTCAAACTCTCTCCTACACCATTGGTTAGGACTTAGGTGAGCGGAAGGTTGCTGGTTTACATCCCGTGGACAGAGTGATTTCATGTCCATAAGCAACAATAGATAAGTATAAATACACCCATAGACGCAATTAGGAGTGACAGCTTTTTTTCTGAGAATTTTCTGGAACTTGCGGTTCATGTCAGGTAAATAGGCATGTGAAATGCCGATTATGCTGCACATGACATGACAGACGTGTACATTAATAGAAAATGAAATTAATTCGAAGCAGGAGAAAGCATAGACTGTCTGCAGTCAGTATACCAAACTGTTTGCAGCCTCGTTTGACTTTGACAGGATTCTTTTAATGTTCTTTAACAAGTTTTACAGGCCTACTTTAACTTAAAGCAGGGCAAATCCAGTCCGTTGTTAGATGATAAAAAAAAAAGGTAAGATTTTATATTCAGTTCTAGATGAAAAGATTTTTGCTCACAAATATTTCTTTGAATTAATAATAAACATGAAAATAAACAACGGGGACCAGTTAGGCTGTATTTCAGGGGTAAGCACTTCCAACCCCGGGGGGGCGCAAACGAAAAAAAAAGCAGCAGATCGACCAGATTTATTGATTTGGGTGGCCATATATTTTCTACCCTTGACTACCCCCAAGATCCACCCCTGTAATTTTCAAAGAAGGGACACTTAACATCTAGTAAGTCTATTATCGTATCTTTCGTTATCGTATCGTTAACACGGTGAAGCTAGGAATTTGCCCTTTACACAAAATAATTCACCAGGTCTCACCTGAAGTAAAGATTGTATCACGTCCTGAAGTAAATGAAAATCTAACTATACTGCTGAGCTACGAATTTCGTATTTTGATGCTCAAGTAAATATTAAGCTGTGGAGTTGCTATGGATATATGTCAGTGTAATTTGCCATAATAGCTTGTCATTTCGGTCACCATGGCAACAGTAATCACAAGTGAATATGACGAACGCTTACGCAACACAGTTTGCTATGGTTCTTGACCTGTAGGCATATAACTTAAAAACTTGTTTTGAAACACAAGGAAGGTGTTTCCTGTATGTCCTGAAAGATTGCTGCTGAAATATGTGGAGGCTTGCGGTATTCCTAACTTTCAAATGGCGTTGTATTGCATCGTGTGTTCTTCTTGGTCACTACCTCCCTGCATCCCTGGTGTTGCGCTATCCCTGGTGTCCCCTTCCACATGCCCCCTGTTTCCTGGAAACATCCCTGTTCATCCCTGAACTGGATGATCGCTTGTGGAAAACTGTAGGATGACTCTATGGGTGGATGGATAATTGTCATTGGCGTGTCTCCCATCCCTCTGAAGAGCACCATTATATCTTCTTTTTTGTCATAAACTATCTGTACAAACATCCATTTTGGGGATCATGAAGATGTGAGCCCATTCACCTTAGTTCTTTGCATTTTTTAATTCCTCTCCTCTGAAGCCAGCTGCCACAGTCTGTGTGTCCATAAATGACTGAAGTGCATGCGGCACTTACCTTTAAAAACAAGAGTGAACCTTTGTTTTAAACTGGATCTCCACTGGTCAGCGAGGGAGGGGTACAAATTGGGGGGAGGGGTACAAATTGGGGCGGGGTTGCAGTGGCCCTTTTCCTGTCAAAATAAAACATAAGTGACCTCAATATTTCACTGTTAGGCATTGTTAGTTTTTTCAGTTCACAATGTTAGGGAAAATATTGAATATATATCTTATTTTTTTATTTTGGTATGAAAAATCAAATTTTTTAAATTTAATGAAGTCTAAAAATATATATTTTAATTCACACTGTTTATAATCAATACTGGTAATTTTATCTTGCTTATATACTGCATGTTTCATGAAATTGAATTTAATAGATATATTATTTTATTTTCTTACACTAACTAATATAATTTATGATTAAAAATCCAGTTCTTCAAAGCATGGTACTGGATATTCCTGTTACCACGTAATTATTCCATTTTTTCCATCGATAGATACTTCTTTGCGTAGGCCTCTCTGCTCATAAAGAAATCCAAACAAAATAAGATTCATAGATGTTGTTAAATGCGGTATAAATCACAGAGGACGCTGTGGGCCTTCCCGTAGGGTCGCTCTCATGCATTGACACGTTCTCCCCCACAGGTCCGCAGAATGACGCAGTCTTCAGTGAATTTCGGACATTCAAGTTTTCTACAGGCAAGAAGAACAGCAGTTTTCTCCTACGAAACAGCTCAAGTTCAAAGTCGGCCTATATGCAGAATTCACAGGTTTGCTGTTCAATGTCTTTTCACTTGCTGATCTGAATGTGAATTTTTATTCACATTTAACAGGTTTTAATGAGCAAGTAAATGAATAAATGAACTGAATGCAAACATTTAGTTAGTTTTTTATTATTATTACTATTTTTAATTTTTTTGATGAATATCTACTCTTTAATTCAAAGTGATGTTTTATTAAGTTATAACATTACTAGCCATAAAATTATTTTTAGTACGATTGCAACATTTGTGATACCGTATATTGCACTGGGCCACCACAGATGCAGCATATGAATAGTGTATTAATAGAATGATTGATTTTAATAAATATGTCCATGCTTTTGTGTAGTGCTATGCATTGCTCTTTATGCTGCACATTAGGCTGATGATTTAAGGGTTAAAGCTAAGAGGTTCATGGTCATGAGCTTGCATTTAGCCCCAAAGGACACTTTTAACAGTGTAAATGATCTTGACAGGTTGAACTGGGTCGCATTCCTTTCAAGGTTGCTGAACTTGACATTTTTAATCCCAATGTGCTGTGGAGATGTGTATCCAAATTTCAGATAGTATTTTTTTTTTTTTGAGGTTGGGAAACAGAGGAAATGTGACAGAATCAGCGGATAAATCTGATCTTCAGAAACTGCAAAATAATGAGTTAGATCTTAGACATGCTTTGAATGAAGTAGAAGCGTAACACACAGATAAAAAAATGTCACCGTGAATTCCATAACTTGAAATGACTTTGTACAAAACGTCCAAGTTTGCGGTATAAAACAGACAGTACGCTAATCTTAAACAATAAAACAAACTTACGCAACTTCGCCTGGTTTAGGAGGAATATATTGCGATCCTGTATCAGTAAGGTGATCCCTTGTTCTTAGTGATACTGGAGAAGTGCTCACTTTTATGCAGCACAATGTGTGGGTCTTAGGGTTTCAATAATTTATCACCCCAAATGTTTACAGAAAGAATTAAAATGCCTAATAACAACCTTCCTGTTTTCATTTAAAGCATAAATGAACTGGATGCATGTTAATCCTAAAATAAAATGCGATGAAATAACAATAATGAATAGTTACTTGCAGGTTGAGTAAACCCTAACATAGATAAGTATATTTGTAAAGTATATGTATAGTATCTGTTGTATATCACTTGTAATATTATTTAATACATTTGGTAGCTGTTATTAGCTATTAACATGGAAGTTTATTAAGTATATTATGAAATTGTATTTACATTAATTTTGTTACATTTTCAGGGCATATTTTGGTGATGTGTGATAATATTGTGCTTTCGAGGCTTATGACCAAATCGTCATCAAGCTAAGCGTTCACTTCCAAAGTGTTTGACTGCGTGCGAGTCGGCTAGGTGTGCCAGCCATTAGCCACACTCAGATCTGTGGAGTAATTATCTACTTAATCTTCAGTAGATCCTTTATGAGCTGAACATCAGTGGGGCCACTTTCTCCATCGCTGCACTGTAGTTAAGGGTCAGGAGAGATATAGAGGATGAGTCCAAGGTCAGACCAGGCCACAGTGGGCAATTTTAGCCAGGATATTGGGGTTTCACCCCTACTGTTTTGAAAGATACCCAGGGATCTTTTATGACATCAGAGAGCCAGGGTCTCTCATCTTAAGGACAGCACCCTTTTCCCCAGCACAGTGTCACCATTACTGCAGTGGGATCCACACAAACCACAGAATAAGCTAATCTGTTAGCCACACCAGCACCTGTTCCAGCAGCAACACTTTCCTATTTGGCCTCCCATCCAAGTACTGGCCAGGCCCAAACCTGCTTAGCATTATAAGATTACCAAGTCTTATCTGCAGGCGGTGTGACTGCTGAGGGAAGCTCTGCATTCCGCTGGACAGGAAGAGGTGCTGTACCATGAACCTTGTTGCAGGACTTTCATGCCGGTCTCCGGCCCTCGCTCCTCTTCCCGTCATGAAGACGCCAGACACTGCGGCGAATGCCCAGCTCTGCCTCCATCCAAGCTTTCTGCAGCTCCACTCTTCTTGCTTACCCCCCCCGAGTTGCTATTTAAATGAGCATAAATTCGCATATTAATAGCTTTATGACTAAGACCTTATTTCTGGGTCAGTGTGTAAGATTACATGCTTGGATGTATGACGAGGAAATCCACAAAGAAAGTGGCCGTAGTTTTTTTTTTAATGATTGCGTGGGAAGTCGAGTTAGTGCCGCTATGAATAGAGGCAGACGCTGCCGTATAGTATTTCCTCAGGTACATGTGTGCGTGATGTCATCGCGCTTGGCCGGGCCGTACTGGCTGAGGGCACTGGGCCTGATCCTGCTTCCTCAGTTGTATGTTGCTTTGGATAAGAGCATCTGCTAAATAAATAAAATGTAAATGAAATGACCGAACGTGGCAGTTCTCCAGCTGGGCTTTTCTTTGTCCCAGCACATCTTGTCCTATCGAGCTGTGGAATGACAATCAGTTTAGGACCCCAGTGTCAAGGTCGTCCCCGCACCTGCCTGTTTGCGTGAATGTGGCCGGCCGTCGTATTCTGAAAGTCTCCCTCTCCACCAGCTTCATGTTGTTCTCCGTCGCAGTTGGATTCAGCCCCTCCGCTTTTAATTATTAACCTCGTAAGCCATGCCAGGGCTTGTCAGAGGAAATGTTTATTTATAGGTGTTGGCGAACCAGTTAATTATGCAGACTTAAGTGGAATATCGATGCCACACCTCATTTAGCTATATCTGCAGATCTTTTCTAGAACGCTTCTCTACAGTCGTGTGTTGTAACAGGATCACACTCCGTTGTCAGTCTGGGATTTCTGCCGTTCTGAGACCTACCGCTTAAGATCTGTATCATATCTAGGCTTTAATAATAGAGAATTCTGTGGACATTCTGCACATGTTAATGAATAACATGCAAGGGTGTAGAGAAGCTGCTGGCGTGTTGTCAGTGGACATAGATGCATTTACATGAGGCCCCCTGTTGGCCGTAAACAGTCACTACACTAAATGATAAATAACAGCCTTCCTTAGTTAGGAGATGCTGAAGCACCAGGAAGCTAGCTACGGTCTTCAGACTCTACTCACTAGCTATTTATTTAGTACATGGAAATTTAGTATATGGAACATTTGTGTGTGGCTTTTTCAGTGAGGCCCTAGAAACGATGAACTCACCCCTGTGTAGCTGCATCCATTCTCTTCATCGATTACATATAAAACTGTATCATCAGCGAAGCTTTAATTTTTCAGTGTAGCTGAAATGATATACAAGTATACAGTGCTGTGCGAAAAGTCTTAAGCAGCCACAGAAAATGATGTTTAAACGATCTTCATGTTGGTGTAAAACTATGATATTATGTCTGTCTATGTGTGTCAGCTTAGCCAGAGCTAGGGGCCCCCAACCACTAAGGTGTGATCTCAGAAATAACTATGAACTATGGACTGACAATGATACTGGATAGACTCAAGACTGCAGATTTCTTATTGGGTAACAACTGTTACCTACAGCCAGTAAAAAGAACAGCTAACAGTACCCAAAGAACATGCAAAGTCAACAAACAAACAAATAGACAATCAGTATGCAGTAGTTCAATGACAACAAATAACTACAATTTGCATAAAGCTCAGGTGTTTGTAATATTGCAGTTCTTCTGATTTAGCTGTTGACAATGTGGTTGGTTTTAGGAAGGAAACTGATTCTTGAATCTGGTAGCCAGTACCCTGATGTTGGGAAATCATTTAGACATGAGGACTGCTTTTGGCAGTGGCACAATTGTAGTCCTCTTGAGGCACAGAGGATCTGCAGGCTTTGACCTTGCTGAAGAACCTCCCCATATCCTGCTCAGACAGCCATGGTACCAAATCCCCTCCTTCACCGGCAGCTTTGTGGCTCCATGTTTTGACCAGACACCACAAAGCCTCAGTCCTTGCTTAACAGTATTGGAAACATTGTGTAACTCTGCAAACTCATTAATATCTGTGACTCAGTCTTCGAAAGCACTACCTTTAGTGATTTTGCTGTTCTGTATGGATGTTTGTTCTGTGGAAGGAACTGAGGGACACAAGCTTCATCAAATCTGCCCAATCAGGACTTAACCAGGTTAAGGTTCTCAGTGTTATCCAATCAAGCACAGGGTTTAGCTATGAGGTACTCAGTGTTCGCCAATTAAAAGCATGACCAGTAGGTACTCTGTGTTAGCCAGTCAAAACAGGGTTTAACCATGAAATACTCAGTGTTAGCCAATCAAGCAAAGAGTTTAACCAAGAGGTACTCAGTATTAGCCAATTAAAAAAATATGGTTTAACCAATAGACACTCAGGATGTACTCACACTAGGCCCAGTCACCTTGTATTGTGCCCAAGCATGCTTTTGTGATCACTGTGTGACTTTGTGTGTTGAAGAAGACAGAGGATGAAAATAACTATTGCACAGCACAATGTAGTTCATGATTAATGCTCTTAATTTGTGGCTTATTTGGAGTCATTTTGGGTGCAATGACACACGGCCCTCTTATAACTCTATTGAGTATGCAGCACAATGTTTTTTATTCATGTGTGCTGCATGTACAGTATAAGGAATTAGTCCCATATTTTAAGTTTTTGTGTGTTGCATCCAGCTGTTCCTGGATACTCTTGTCAGCCCAAATTTCCAGCAAACACTGCACCAAAGTGCTCCATTGCCGCCGTGTTTGTCGCTACCCACGGTCCATTTACCAAGAGCATAGTTACCAACAACGTTAGCAACTTACATTGTTGGAGCAAAGCGACTGAATGGTTCCAGTAATGTCATTTGTTAATGGGAGTTATTGGGAAACGCACCCCCAATCTCTGTCATTTTTTTTTTTTTTGCAATGCAGTTTTGTGAAAAGAAAACGCTTGTGATCTGTACAGCCTACCTGATTCGTTCCTTCCCGGTCCAGATCATGTATAGTGTACATATGTGCATATATGCACCAGTCACATCATTGACTTCATGTCTGTGTTTCGTGCCCGAGGATAGATAAGCGTACTTTACTCATTGTTAACCAGCCAAACATAGGGTTTAACCAGTGGGTACAAAATGGTAGTCAGTCAAACACAGGGCTTAACCATGGGGTACTCTGTGTTAGCCAATCAAAGAGGGCTTGACCATGGGTATTTAGTATTAGCCAGTCAATCTGGGCTTAATGGTGGCGCAGTGATTAGCACTGCTGCCTCACGGCAAGTCCTGGGTCGCTTCTGTGTGGAGTGCGAACGCTCTGCCTCTGTTCGTGTGGGTTTTTGCTGGGGGCTCCGGTTTCCTCCCACAGTCCAAAATTATGCAGGATAGGTTGATTGGTGAGCCTAAATTGGACCCGCGATAGGCTCTGCCCCCCCCCCCCCCCCCCCCCCCCGCAACCCAAGTTGGGATTTAGTTGTTTTCAGAAAATGGATGGATAGAAGAGGGCTTAACCATGTTAGTCATTCAAAACATGGCTGGTACAGCGGTGCCTGTTAGCCTGAAATTGTTGATTAGAAAACATACGCCACCTCCTCTGGTGTGGCTGGTGTCTTCAGAGGGGTTCTCCTGATGTTCTGTCAATCTGAGGAGGTGCTGGACCAAGTCGGGAATGTTCGGGTTTAGTTAAGTTTGAAGGTGAAAACACACTGGTCCCTCATGTCCTGCTGAGAATGAAGCAGGCAGTGCGGATCCTCAGTCTTATCATCCAGCTGCTGTGCAGGGCTGGGTGGGCCACCACTATCTCGCCGGGCATCTGCTCCTCCTCCTCCTCCTCTTAATCTTTTTCTCTTCCTCCTCCTCTGCTCAGATCTTTGCTCGTCTGGTAGTCAAAGTTCTGAAATAAGTCGGGGTGCAGCGTAAAGAAGCCAGCAGTGTTTTTTCTCCAGTGTTTGTGTATCGTATCCAGTAGATGTTGTTCAGAGCCCAAAAGAAACAAAACGCAAACATAAGACCCAGGCTCAAGCTAGTTAAGAAATGTTGCCCAAATCAATGGTAAAGACGTGCCAGTCCTGCTGGATTGTGGCTGAATTAATGGCATTGCTATTTGGGCCGGGCCAGGCTGGGCCAGGCAGGGCCGGGCTGAATGGATCTGTTGTTCTCTTCCCTCAGGCCAGGCAGAGCCACTCCCTACCCATGGGCCCAGTCATGCGAATGACGAGCTGCAACAGCCAATGGGATCAGCGTTTGCACTCCATGTACGGCGAAAACCCGCCGCAGGTCTCCAATGGCCTGAAGCCCAGTAAGAGCGACCCTACCCTGATCAAGGCCACACGTGCCACCCTGCCCTCCCGCATGCAGAGGGCCAGCATTCACTCCACCGGCAACAACAGCTCCCAGGTGATGGTGAACAATGCCACCAAGGTGGTTAGCAGCCATAACCGGCTTCTTCAGGCTGCCACAAGCCCCCCCAATGGTGACTCTAAGACGATGCTCACCAAGGCCAAGACCGAGCTTACGGGGTGAGAGACCAGGCCCCACTGTTGGGCCAAATTTAATCATTCTGCTCCAGCAAATGCATCACATCCTCCAGCGGGTCTTCTGAGTGGAGCCGGGTTTTTCCTGCCTCATCCAGGGTCAACGGGAGTGGCAGCGGGACGGACATGACCGTCAAAGAGGCCGTGGAGCTCCTGTCCAGTCCAGACGAGAAACTCCAACTCTGTGGTGCCTCCTTCATCCAGCACAGCACCTTCAAGGAGGACCAAGCCAAGCAGGAGGTGAGATGGGCTGGTCCTGCTGACACCCCCTGTAACCCTCCAGCAGGGCTTCTGGCTTCTTCATGGAATTGAAATTCTCCTGGGACTGATACATTAAGCTATCGGGCTTCCCTTAGACACATATTTTGAGCTAAGCTAAAACTTTAATGTCTTTTTGGAACCTGCTTGGATGGTTCTAGTCCATACTCCCATTCCAGCGTGAGGTGAGTAGATAGACACTTGGGGATCATTAATGTCTCTGCAAGGCAGCTAGAGAAAAGGTTCAAGCGTGTAAGAACGAGGTCATTGTTAAACTTCATGGATAAAAAAAGTTGGCTGTACTATGTTGGCTAAGTTCTTCAGCCACACAGTGAAGACTGATGCTTGTTTTCCCCTGTTCATCCGCCTTGCTGATCCCTTTTTAAACCCTAAAAGGAACAGGGGCCAGCTGGGCACATTTAACTCGAAGGGCCGCGGGCGTGTGGCAGGTTTAGAGAACAGTGACTGGCGAATATTTGTGCCCTAAAAGATGAACATTGATTGACATTATCCCTGGGAGTATCTGTCAGAACTGAGGATAGGGATCTAACCCAGGCAAGCAGGGCGGAGAACGGATGTCAGATAAAATCGTGATGGCATGAAGAAAAACAAAATATAGCTGCTCCTGGACGAACAACAAGAAAACACGCGGAAAAGGGTGAGGGACTAGGGTGGGGCTGGGAATGGGGGTCTGGTTGTTTTTTTTTTTTGTGGGCAGTCATCAAGAAGGCGACTGAGAAATGCCCAGTGTGGCTGTGTGTGAGGACTGTGAATCAGGAAGAGGTTGCCTGAAGGAGCTCTCTCACCGCCTCAGCATGCACTGCCTCCAGCATCCCCACCCCTGTCTCACGTTAGTGTCAGCTGACCATCCCGTAAGCGGCTCTGGTGTTTGGAAACCGTCCTGTGTGTCAACACGGCGGTTTCCCGGTGGCTTAGTGGTAAGTGAGAGTGCGAGACGTGTGACTGTCCTCTCTGATCCACATGAGAGGAGAAGCTCAATTGCAGGATTCCTCTGGTTTCTCCAGAGCTCAAGGAGAAGATGCCTGGCTCAGTAATAGCGATAGGTATTCATGCTTGTTTTGTTGTATGATGATTCTTTTGTTTTTAAACATGCCTTTCCTAGGAATAGTTGTCTGAAATTATAATTATATTCAAGCCTGCATCCACATGCAACTGGAATTTTAGTTCGTACAATTGTAATAGCTAAATGGACTGATGTTGCTGAAATGTTAATAAAGGACATTGGCAACATCAACATTGTGTGCATGATTTGCATCGTTCCACTTTGGATGAAAACACACAGCAGAAACAATGTCCATTGTCTCATGTCTAATTGTCTGGAATTATTTATTTTTCACCACTTAGCATTTACTGATATAGTTGTTGTTTTAACTAGCTTAACGTCCCTAACGTCTTTTTCCACATGACCCCGCCCCTCTCTACGTGACCCGCCCCCTTACTTCCTAACCCCATCCCTTTCTCCCTGACCCCCCCTCCCTCATACCCCCGCCCCTCTGTACCCCAACTCCGCCCCTCCCTACATGACCCCGCCCCTCTCTACCCAAACTCCGCCCCTCCCTACCTGAACCCGCCCCACTTTCCCTACCTTCTCCCCGCCCTGCTTTCAGGTGCTCCGGCAAAATGGCATCCCCGGCCTGGTGGCCCTCCTGCGCAACCCCAGCCCGCAGATCCAGCAGACGGCCGCCGGCGCTTTGCGCAACCTGGTGTTCAGAGACACTGACAACAAGAAGGAGGTGCAGCAGTGTAAAGGGATAGAGGAGGCGCTGGCGCTGCTCAAGGACACGGATTCCAGTGAGACGCAGCGTCAGCTGGCAGGTGACACCCAAGGCCACCCCCGCCACCCCCCCTTCCCACCTGAAACACCCCTAACATGCCATTGTAAAACACTATCGCATGACCAGTATGCCAGCACTCAAACCAAGCATTTGTATGCGGCCCTCTATTGGCCACAAACAGTCACTACATTGGGGGGTAAATAAATCCACCCCTGAATGTGACCACGAATCATTCAATATATCACTATAATGACTTATTAAAATTAACATAGACTCAGCCACAGTTTTTACAGCCTGTTAGGCCTGTTATTGTTGTCTCAGATAGCTAATGAGGTTTGTCATGGGGTTGACCTTACAGAACATGAGGATAACCTGCTGTGACTCTGCTCTGAGTGTGAATTGTGTACGGAGGTAACAATGGGTCCATAAATCATCGTTTTTCCGCACCGCCCTTAGGTCTCCTGTGGAACCTGTCCTCGGAAGACAGCCTGAAGCCGGTGCTGATTCAGAGGGCCCTGCCCGTGCTCACGGAGAACGTGGTGGTGCCTTTCACCGGCTGGTCCGACACTAGCACTAATCGGCACATCGACCCCGAGGTCTTCTGCAGCACTACGGGCTGCCTGAGGTGAGGCCACATCTAGTTGGGCGTCCTCGATCCGTGACACGTGCCTCACTCACTCACTTTGTTGAAATTGTGAAGAAAATTAAAATCAGTAATTAATATAGCTGCGTGTTTTAGGGATGATGGATGGATGGAAAGCTACTTTATTAATTCCCAAGGAAACTGCAGACTTTGACAGTAAAAGTTTTTTAGACAGTAATAAACAATAACAATAAACAATAAATGACAGTAAACAGTGACAGTCCAAAGAGGTGGTAGATGTTTTGGGGGGGGGGGCAGTCTTGGGGGTCTCATGGAGTCGTCCATCCCACCCCGTGGCCTGACCCCTCCCTTCCTGCCTCCCTGAGACAGGAACCTGAGCTGCGCCAGGGATAAGGAGCGACAGGCCATGCGGGACAGCCCCGGGTTGATCGAGGCACTCGTCACCTACATTAAGAACTGCGTGGCGGTGGAGAAGCCAGATGACATGGTAGGAAAGGCACTGCATCGCTGCCAAGCTCTGCAGCACTCTACCATGCTCTGCAACATTCTACCATGCTCTGCCACACTGTACCATACTCTGCAGCACCCTACCACGCTCTACAACACGCTACCATGCCCTGCAGCACTCTACCATAATCTGCAACACTCTACCATGCTCTGCCACACTGTACCATACTCTGCAGCACTCTACCACGCTCTACAACATGCTACCATGCTCTGTAGCACTGTACCATACTCTGCAACACCCTACCATGCTCTGCCACAATGTACCATACTCTGCAGCACTCTACCACGCTCTACAACACTCTACCATGCTCCGCAGCGCTGTACTGCCTACTTCTACACCCTACCCTGCTTTGCCACACTCTACCATACCCTTCAGCACTCTACAGTGTTTTGCCACTTTCTGCCAGTCTACCAGGCCCTGCACTCTGCCATGCTCTGCCACACTACATGCACCGCAGCACTCTACTACACTTTGCTGCACCCTGCCATATCCTGCAGTACTCTGCCATGCTCTGCCACACTCTACCATGCCATGCAGTACTCCACCATGCAGTACCATTTGTACCCATGAGATTAAACTTACACGTTGTACTTTCCACAAGTTAGTAGCTATAGAAAAACTGTAGAACTGCAGTTTTGCAAATTGATTCCTACCTCTAAACACCCCTCAAATGAAAAGAAAAACTTTTTTGCAATACTTGAGGTTTCTTTTTTTCCAAGATTTGAGTTTTCCAGTTCATATCTTTCAAATGTCTAGTCCATAGTTCGATGGAAATGCCCCTAGTTAGAGGGCCAGTACTTTCTGACAGCCTTTGACACATGTTTTTGCCATCACATTACAGTCAGTGGAGAACTGTGCCTGTATCCTTCACAACCTCACCTACCAGCTGGAGACGGAGGCTTCTGAACATCTCAGTAGCTTCAGCACACTGTCGGCCTCCAGGAGCTCATCCAGCAGGAAGACCAGCCTTGGCTGCTTCAGTCCGCAGAGCAGCAAGGTCGATCAGGAGGTAAAGTGGCTGTGGAGGTCCTGAACGACGTGGTGTTCCCCATAAAGTCCTCTAGGGGGTCAGGGTGGAGGTCTACCTTTCAGAGTGGCCAATTAAACGCTAAGACTGTTCTTCACATAAACAGGGGTATGTTGTTTCTGGGACTCCACTCAGAAAGCCCCCTCCCCCAGATGTTACATAAACTAAATAAATACCTAGTGCGTATAGTCAGAGGATCATAGGTAGCTGTTTGCAGAATATGCTGCTTCAGGATCTTCTAAATAGGCAACTTTTTAAAGTAATGCTTAATGTAGTGATGGTTTGTGGCCAACAGGGGGACCTCAAACCTCAGGGGCCCCAGAGGAATGCTTGGTTTGAGTGGTGGTAAGCACTACCACTGTGTATAGATCATACAGGCACCACACATCAAAGCCCAGAAAAATATAACAGTGACACAGCTTTCTGTTATGGTATTAGAGGTCATCAGATTACAGGTGACTGCTCAGAGCTAATTACCACAGGAATTGTCTTGCACAATTTTCCTTTGTTTTGCTGCAGATTGCCTGTGAGAACCCAGTGGTGGAAGAGGCTGATCCAAAAGGCCTTGGCTTGCTTTACCACTCCAGAACTATTCAGACCTACCTTTACCTCTTGGGAGCCAGCCAGAAGGATGCCACCTTGGAGGCCTGCGCAGGAGCCCTGCAGAACCTCACAGCCAATAAGGGACCAGTAAGTCTCAGACTGATCAGCGAGGACCAATCAGGGTCCAGGAGAACCTGTTTTACTGGTGGATTTCTTAGTGAAGAACAGCACTGTGGGAAATTTATCTCTATGGGGCTGAAAAGCAGATGGGCTCAAGCAGCCTTCGGGTATTTCTCTATACCAAGAATGCAACGACTGTACTTGTGGTCTTGGCAAGACCAGTCTTGCTAACTTGCCTTCCAACAATGAACTTGGGGTGCAGTGAATCATGAGATGGGTCTCATTTGATGAAGATGCATCCGACGTATCCTTGATATTTGGGGCGGGGCAAGAATAACATCCGGGGATTTTTACTGTCCTCTGCACTTCTGCTCTTGAGTATTGGAACTGGTCTTTTGTAATGGGAGATGACGTAAATGGGGTATGTGAGTATGGTCAAGAATGCATATTGAGAAACGCCGTCTGTCTGCGCTCCATGTCCGGTGTGGATGTAAACGTGGGCTTCTTCTCTCTCCAGTTCTCTAAAGCCATGAGCCAGACCATTGTGCAGAAGCTGAATGGCCTGCAGTACATCCAGCCGCTGCTGCAGAACTCCAACCCTAGTCTACAGAAGACCGTGGTGTCTCTGGTGGGGAACCTGTCCAGGAACCCAGTCCTGACGAGCAACCTGGGTGAGAAGTCTGTCTGGAAAGTGGTCCATACTACAGCAGAAGGTGCTGTGGGTGTTTAGGACCAGGAGATGCCTGGGTCTGACCTCAGCAGGACCATTCGTCTAGTAACTGGAGTTACGATCATGAAAATGATCACAGTAGATATACAGTACACATAACACACGTGCACTTACTTTTTTAATAGTAGTCTAAGTTCTTGCTTTGTCTTTGCCATGTTTTTGAGGAAGACTTGACTCTTATGATCAGTTCAGTGTCCAAAAGGACCAGGTGTGAATGTGAAGTGGACTGAGACCATATAAAAACTGAAGTGCACCAGAAAGTGAACCGAGTGCTTTTGGAAAGAGAAGCGAGTCAGTGGAGAATTGTGCGTGTATCCTTCACAACCTCAGCTACCAGCTGGACATGGAGGCTTCTGAAAATCCCAGTAGCTTCAGCACCCTGACAGCCTTCAGGAGCTCCTCCAGCAGGAAGACCAGTTCCCTTACTCTTGGTCCACTTTCTGGTTCACTTAAAGTGGAGTTTGTTTCTTTCGAAATTGACTATAATAGCAGTAAAGGCTCTATCTTGTACAGTTTATTATTTGAGAGCTGCTCTCAATTTGGATAAAAATGCCTGCTAAATAATGTTAATGTAATGTGAAATTTACAGCCTCTTAAACCACACATTTGTGAAGGGCCCCCAGGAAACCTGAGTGTGATGATGTAGTTCTAATTAACATTCCGCATTTTCACACTTATAGTCTGGTTTCTCTGGTCTGAATCAGTTGATGAAATTGTAAACTTGTAGCATTTTCCCCAACCATGCACCAACATGAATGTTCGTTCCGCTTATTGGTCAGATGTGTCTGTAGCGCAAGCAAGAAGGTAAATACAGGAAGATCCCATGTCCTGGGCTATGCAGTAAATACAGGAAGAAGGTCCCATGTCCTGGGCTATGCGGTAAATACAGGAAGAAGGTCCCATGTCTTGGGCTATGCGGTAAATACAGGAAGAAGGTCCCATGTCTTGGGCTATGCAGCTGAGCAT